AATAGCACATAAAAGGAAACATATATTGAAAGACTTATTGTATAGATAATAATAACAAATGCAAATTTAAGGAATGCAATTTATTATTAATTTAAATTTATTATTAACTATATTATTTATTATTTATAATATTAATATAATATAATACATAATATATATAATATAATATTAATATAATGTAAATTTATTATTTACTACATTATTACTTTAAATTTATTATATAATTTACTTGCAATTTTTATTATTAATATTTCAAATTACGTATTTCTTTTGTTAAATTATTTTTTTAATAATTATTTAGTTAAATTATTTTGTTACAATTACTTTTTTAAATTATATTTTTTAAATCTTTTTTTTAATAAACGAAAAAATTGCGTTAATCTGCATATCAATAAAATAATAAATAATTTTAGATTTATTGGGAAAATATATAGAAAAGACAATCTTATTTATATTTTCACATGCATGTTATTTATTATAATATATATAAACATATATAATAATGTTACATATATTATGTTACATGATATATACTGAAAAAGCACACTAGAAAATATCTAAGTGTGCTTAAATAAATTCTAAACTAATGACAATCTAATGACTCTTTTCGTTGGGTTTTCTTACTCATAGGTAAATACTACAATGTTACAAATGTTACAATCTATGAAAATGTGTTATCGATGCTCCTCGTCGTAGTACACGGTGTCATCATTATCTTCACGATGCTTTGCTTCACTATGATGTGGAATTATTTTATAAATTGTATGCGTATGTTTCACCTTTTTCACCTGATAGGGAACGTGTATTATCACTTTCTTCCTACAACAAAAAAATATTGCAAAAAATATTAAATATAAATTTAACAAAAAAATACAAAGTCCTCTTTCCAAATATCTCATACATTTCTCATATATTTGTTTATCTTATAATACTTACGATTCAATCGATTGATGCATCAGTGCTAGACTTATCAGGAACAAGATACTGTACTGTAACAAACATAAATATCAATGCATTATTATTATATATATATTCCAATTATCTTGCGAATTTTCTCGGCCAAGTAAAATTAAAATAAAATGCCACATAAGAATTAATTATTGAATTAAAAAAGAGAATAAATATTTTTCAATTCAATTTAATAAATTCTTTAATAGATGCTCAATTAAAATAGATACTTTGAGGTCAAAATTAAATTAGGTATTACAAATTTTAAAACAAACTTTTGAGATAAATAAGAGTAATTTTTTTTAATTAAATGTTAAGTTTAATTAAAATTTAATTATGTATATGGTAATGTAACAAAGAAGCATCTTACCAGGAACTTGTTCATTGTGAAAAACTTGATTCGCTTCTACAAAGCTTTTGTCGAAGCACTCTAACTAATCGTGAGATACCGTCTATGCATCGCACAGGTATAAAGCGAACGTTTATATAGTGCAACCAACATCTAACAGGGGGGAGATGCGTAAAGTATTCCGCGAAACTCCGCCCAGCATGCACTCAAAACACTATTATTTGCGATTACCGCTCTAGAATATCGCAAAACATCCTTTTGCTCCGGATTTTCATCTGAAAAACACCAATATCTGATAAGCCTAAAAATATAAAATGATAAATTTATCATCTCTAAACATATTATTCGCATCAAATAAAAATACTCAAATAAATTATTCAAAAATTATTTATTTTTTATTAACGTTTACAATAAGAAGAATTTAATTTTCACATATTATGTGTGTGTTTTTATCCGAAACGGAGCTCTGTCTTCGTGAAGTGCAAAAATAAATACTCGTATTAAAACGTGTTAGTCTTTTTAAATCATTGAGGAAATAACAAATTGCTTCGTCTAACAATTAAATGCAATATGACGTGCGCGAGTCAATTAAAAGTGAAATCTTGGCGTAGCGCTGGAAAGCACCATAAAAAATGCCACCTACACGCGTGTGCAGATACATCGCGTTTTCTGCGATTAGCAATTTTTATCCAGCGCCGATTCTGGCCGAAGAAAAAAAAAGAAATGGACGGGAAGATCGCCGCGGCGTGACTACCTCGGCTATCGTGATCGTATAATCGTCGGTCCCGTTGATTTCACGGCCACATTAATCCCGAGCGAGTGAAAAACCGATGGATGCAAGAACCATAACTATTGTATCGTTTGAAAAATACATCGCTTTTATCTCTTGCATCCTCGCCTATTGCTTGACACATCGATTGTATCGATTGATGCAGTCATCCGTTGCAAGATGAATGCTATTTCTTTCTCTTTTACTTGTCGAACTTTATTTCTTTTTATAGCAAAACTCTAATTCACGCAGAAACTTCTTGTTTGCTTTGTCTATAAAATATCTATCATATCCCTGATCTCATGTTATAATTAACGTTAAAGCAAATTTATGAAAATACAATTTATTTTGTGCAGAAACGAGAGTGAATCGGTGTAAAATTTTTATTTGATTAGCTTAAACAAGATAAATTAGATCTAAACTAGATTATACTCTGAATTTTCTATCATGATATTTTCTTTCGTATATTTTTGTTTTCACTAATATTATTTTCAAATCGCTTTTTCTCTCGCAGCTTTCAACATGAAGATATTAATATAAACGTTTATATTTAATGTTAAAAGCTGTATTATAAATGTATCTAAAACCAACATCAAAACTTTCTAATACTACACATTATCTTGAGCAGATCTCTAATTGTAGTTTAATAACAATAATAGCCACATCTTTTACTTATATTACTTTTCCATTCATCATGCGATATGTAATCTACGTCAATAAGGAGCAATTAGAAATTAAAACAATCCAAATGTGACAACCAATATTGTTTATTTCTCTTCAATATAAACAATTGGCAAATTAAATAGAAATACATCATCCCAGGAATATTATATAACTTATGTACAATACTTAAAAATAATACATTTAAAAATACACCTTCAAAATATATATCTAATGCAATTAATAAAGCTTTAGAAATATTAATATAATATTTATTATATAACATTTATTATATAATATAATATTTATATTAACGATACTTTTTCATGTGTTAGATAATTTAATACATATAAAATATCGAATAGAAAACGACCAGAGTAAGTAATCTTATGCTTCTATTTTAGATAAAATCATTTTAGATAAAATCTGTAATTTTATTTAATTTTAATTATATAATAACAATATTTAATTCAGTGATCAGAAAAAGATTAAATCCGATTCGATCGAGGAATTCTCATATAAAAGATTTTGAGATGTATTATAGATAGAAAATTATGTTAATATTATATTAGATAGAAAACATGGTAAGATAATGTTTACGATTATCTAACACTGATATTCTTTTTTTAGCAATTGCAAACATTAATGTATTTCTATTATTATCGATATCACTTCTTTTTAGGTTTCACAAATATTTGACGTCATTTTCGATGCACAGACAGCTGTTTACAATATAAATGCATCTAATATTGATTTTTTAAGACATAGATTATTTTAATCGATCAATTACAGGATATAGACACAGACATGCACACATACACACACATTCTTACATGATACACGTGCAGGCAATCTTTATGATTTTTGCATAAATAGTCAAAAATCATTTTGGGAATATAATTACGCGTCGTTCGCGATAACGAATGCACACACTGAGAAAAAATCTGGTTGCATTAATTAGAATTCTGGTAGATTCAACCAGTCTGTTGGAAAATGGACGATCTAGAATTCTTATAGGAATTACCAGATGAATCTGATTAATTTCTTCCTGTTAAATTTACCAAATTTTCTGATTAATAATACTAAACTCACCAGTACCAAGTCGTTTAAAATTGTTTCCATATAATCTCAAAAATCTGTTTAATATTTTGAATTCCAACATGATTATTGCATAAATTCAATCCAGATTATTGAATAAATTATTTTAAGTTCAGTTTGTTAGAAATTAAACTGATAAACAGTGATGCAAGAAGAGGATGCAGACTCAAACACACACAATCAGAGTAGGGATGGGCGATCTTGAATCGATTTTTTGAAGAATCGATTCTTTTATATCCGATTCTCGATTTTTTAAATTGATCTTACATCTTCGATTAATCCAGTGAATCGATTCTTAAGATTAGAGAGCGATCCTAAAAACATAAAAGTATAAAATTCATATTACGCCTTGATTTTTCGTATATGTGTGCATAGCATTTATACAAATTTAGTTGAAAGGAAATTTAATCTTTACTTTAAAGCCGGGTTTATAATAGGTAATTTAAGCTCTTAAGAAATTGACCAATCACAGTCAAATATGAAGAGAATACTTGAAAGAATACTTGAAATACTCTAGTGTGATTGGGTAATTTCTTAAGACTTAAGGCTTAAGTTATCTGTTGTAGACCTGGCCTTAATCCACAATTTTTCTTTATATGATGTAAGGAATTGTAAAAAATTAACCTATCGCAGTTGAATGTGAGAAGAATAATTGAATACGATTGGAAATATTTAATATTTTGTAAAATTAAATAAAGAAATCGATTTTTGATAGATCGATTCTTTAACAGTCGATTTTTTGGCGAATCGAGTTTTTAAGTCTCCGATCTAGATCGATCCAAAAAATCGATTCTTTTGAAAAAATCGCCCATCCCTAAATCAGAGAACTGGCGTTTTCTTTCTGGCACTACTGCTCGTAAGAGAAAAAAAAATATACTTTGGATTTAACGTTAATACTAGTTGTTTATACATATTTCATGGCAAATATTGAATACAAGTAAAGTTAAGAGTGGCTAGCGGCAAGCAAAGAAGTTAATGCAACAAGAAATTTTATAGATTCACCAAAAAATACTAATCAAATCCTTATAATAAAATCCATTAAACATTCTAGTTATAAAAAATCGAGTCTTATCATAACTAGAAATTCTTGTTTAATTTAACAAAATGCCTTCAATCATATACGTCTTGTTGGTACATATAATCAAACAATTTTTCTCAGTGCATAAACGCATAAGAACGCGGATCGATCGTGCTTGAAAAAAGGAGGACCACCCTATTAATATAAATAAAGCATCAAGTCGTGGTCGGCCTCCTTTTCGAGATCGTTCTAAAAAATTTTGATTTTCCTGCAAGTGTCGTTTTCTTGGTCGTACTACTAATCGTCGGCTTCTGCGTCGTGACTGTCCTTTCTGTAGTACTACTTAATGCCGGTCTCTTCATTATGTACGTCGATTTCTTCATTATCATAGGCCTTTTGGGTATCTCTGCTTTTTTCACTTTATTATTCGATACCTTAGTCGTGACCTTCATCAACGTTTTTTCGATCGTACTGCTCGATTTCTCAGTCGTACTCCTCACTTTCTTCATCACATTACTCACAGTCGGCTTAATCACGCTTGCTTCGGTCGCTATCAGTTTCTCTTCTATATTGCTCATAAAGATGTTCTCGATCGCCTTGATCAGCAACAACGGTTTCTCCGTCGTCGTGCTCTTAAGTACTTTGATCAACAACGGCTTTGATCTCTCCGTCATCTCATTTTTGACGCTCATCGACTCAGGACTCTTGGTCGTCGTCACCAATGGCTTGCTCGTCACCGTCGTCAACGTCATCATCGTTGTACTTACCATTGGACTCTTCGCGGTGAGGTTTGGTCTCAAAGTTTCGATCGTGATGTTTGGCGATTGGGTGACCAATATCAGCTCGCTACCAACCGACTGTGTCTGCTTCTCAATGATCCTTATGGTACTCTCGGAACGAGGCGTCGTAGTCGATGTGGTCGTGGATTTCTTTTGCTCGCAACCGTTCTGTTCTCCCGAGACAGTCGAGAACCTCGAATCTCGAGCACTCACGCTGCCTCGCTGTTTAACATTCCGACGTGCCTGGTCGGTGGCTCCTCGCGACGGTTTCTTTGTGGGTCGAGCTTTGGGGACTGCCTGGCGTTCTGTCGTAGCAGTTTTCATCATCTCGGCTTCGTACGCTTCGTGCCAACCCGCGTTCTCGTGCACGAATACAACCGGCTGCCACTTCTCACGACTGTCATCGATACCGGTGCCGGTGATCTCCGCGCTTTTCTGGAAGCTCGACTCGTCCTTCTCCTGTTTTGACTTACCCCATATCACGCGAGACGCCGATTCCTCGGTATTCAAGCCTGCCATCTCGCGGGGATTGTTGTATCGCGGTTGTCGGGTCGAGATTGTCCCGAATCCTCGACTAGCCTGATTCTCCGTTCGATAACCGGGCAAGTAAGACGGTGGATCTACAATTTCAAGAGCATTAGAATTCGCACTGGTCTCAGTTATACCGGTTTGCTTATCGTAGAAACTCGAAGGTGGAGTCGGTTTTTCGTAAGAACTCGAATAGGCACTTGGCGCGCTGAAAAGATCGTTTTGCTTTCCGTAAGAGGTCGCGTAGGAATCAGGGGCGCTGTACTCCTGACTTTGATAAGAGGTCGAATAGGAACTCGGAGCACCGTTGAATTCGTTCTGATCCTGATAAGAGACCGAATAGGAACTCGGAGCGTTATTGAACTCGTTCTGCTTGTGATACGAGGTCGAGTACGTGTTCGGGTGAGCATCATGAATCTCGTTCTGTTTGTAGGGCGTCGAGTAGGAACTCGGACCGCTGTAAGAGCTGGGATAGAATTCGGGAGCTGAGTTAGCAGCATCGTTGTACTGCTCGTACGAGGTCGAGTACGAACTAGGACCGGTGAAGACGTCGCTCGGCGCTTTGTAAGTGTCCGTGTGAGAGCTAGAATCTTGTTCCATCGATGCAGGTGAATACGGGGCGATTTGCCGAAGAGGCAAACGATGCGTGCTTAATTGATGCCAGGGCTGTACCGAAGGATCAGCTTCAGTCTTGACTGTCGTCGTTACGTTTTCCTTCTCGAGCAGCTCTTTCACTTTGTTCATGACTTCCTCGCCTGCCGCTTGATACTGGTAATATGAGGCCGCGGATTCGCTCAACAATTGTTGTTCTTGATTCTGCAAGTTTACTCGCGTGTTCGTAAAGTGATTCTTGTTGCTTTCCTCTTTGTTTGAATCTATGGCGGGTGGGAAACTCCCTTTGATTTGCGGATCCTTCGAAGGATTCTGCGAATTCTGTGATTTCGGTGGCTGCACTCCTTTAACGTGGCTGACGTTTCGGGGCGGATAAATTGCACGATGACGATTGGAGGAGGAAGCGAATAACGGATCGCCGTGCAATACAGGATGTATTCCGTGATGAGCTTGATTCATAAGCATGGTGATGGGATCGACGATTGAGGGAATCGGGATGAAGGGATTGTATTGTTTCTCCGCATCGATCACGGGAACCGGTAATTGCGTGACGAAGCGTACCATCACCTCGCTCGCATCAACCGGCTCTATCAGTCGCAAGTAGATCTTGCGTTTGGATCCGGGCATCTGGATAGGCACGAGAGGGCCCAGTTCGTTCTTCGGAGGGTCCAACAATTGATGTACGATGTCAATGATGGAGTCGAAGACATTCTTCTTCCTGGTGACGCGAATCATGGGCTCGATACGAATCGGTTCTTCATCGTAAATCACTTCAGGAATCGAGTCTATCTGATTGTCGCTCACCTCATATGTCGGTAATCCGCCGATTGATCGGGTCTTTACATGTTTTGCTGAATGTCTCGAGCGGCCGCGGTTATAACGATGCTGTTGTTGTTGGGATTGTGGTGATTGTTGTGGTTGTGATGATTGCTGTTGCTGTTGAGGTCCAGATTGAACCTCGTGATTTTTTTTGGACTCTCTCGACTGAAACTGTCGCGACGTAGGGTATATATCGGAATAAATCTGGGGGATAGGATTTATTTCTCTTCTTGTTGCGGCATCTTTGATGATCAATTCTTCTGGTGATCTTGCAATCTTCTTTACTCTAAAGAAGTCAATTATAAATTGCATTACTATTTATTACTTAAATACGAGAAATGATGCGATTGGAAAATGTAACAGATTAAATATTGTTAAAATTTAAAAATAATTCAAAACTAAAATTTTATTTTATGTTATTGTAATTTTATCAATTATTTTTATTGTTATATAAATCTAATTTAACGAAATAGTACAGTTATAATACAGAAAATAAGTACAAGGAAAATTTGTTGTTTTAAAAACACAGAAATAAGAAAGAAAAAAAATCTGTCGAAAATCTGCTTACCTATTATTTAAATATTTGACCTCGTTAGTGAACACTGTTGATGACAGACATGCGCACACCTACATATGAATATATATAAAAATTATATTTGTAAAAAAAATTATATATGTAGAATATATTTATATTTTTATTTACATTATATTTATAAATTTTCATGTAACATATTATAGCACTATAAATTGTCATTTATAATAATTAACAGCTGCATCTATGAGAATCTCAATTGTTTGCTCACTTATCAATTTTTTCAAGCGAAAATTTAAATTAATTTAAACAATGTTAGCATTTCGCGATCACTTTACATCTCCAAAACCACACTGAGGGAAAAATTTTTTTAAATGAAATAAATTTGTTTTCCTGAAACTTTTGCTTTAAATGAAAGGAATTGTTTACTTTATTTAAGCAAAAGTATTTAATTTTAATTAAATATGCATGTTATATTAAGTACATTATTTTCATTTATATATTTTTTATATTTAAATACTACTTTCGTAAAATATATACTATAATTTATTAAATTAAATATATTACTTTTTAAAATTAAAAAATTTAAAATTTTTGGGAATAAAAAATGCATTTTAATAAATATTTTGTAAAATTAAAATAAAAATATTTAATTAAAAATTATATTTTTTTAAACATATGTAAATAAATATTTAATTTAAGCAAACAGACGTTTTGAATACAAGTAAATACATGATTAGTACCCACCGAATAAATAACTTTCTTGAATTAACTAAAATTTTTTTATTTTAAGATAATTTTTTCCTCAGTGCATTAATAAATTAACAGCGTTAGCCGTAATTTCGTCAGCACTGCGTAAGGATGTGCAAGCGTACCGCTAATTATTTTTATCAACTAGAAAAGAAATATTTTTCAGCCCAACTAGGATTCTTATAGCCGTATCCTCCTCCTCAATTATCGGACAGATCGATGCAATGAGTCGAACGAAAAAATTTACGGAAAAAATCCATATGATCGGACAACAATCTCGGCGAATTCACATTTAAGTCGTAATTTTCGATCACTTTTTTTCACTGCGAAAACAATAATTCTCCGATGAGCTGTCTTCACTCACCGTAATGAAACACGTGAACTTCATATCGCGTAGCTCGCACGAAATCCCGCTCACCTTGTCGATGTAGGGGCGACGCACAAAGTCGACTGTGGTGCGGCGATATTTAGCCACCTCTTTTAAAGCTTCTCCCATAGAGCGGCTTCGTGCCGAAGCGTGTCCTTTATAATGCATCTGTATAATTCTCCCTGCACGCCATTATGGTGATCACAAACACTGGGCGAGCAATTGATTTCGAGTAATTAGTTCCTGTTTTTTCCATATTATTTTTATCGAGAGATATCAAATGTTGCCATTAGTAAGTATAAGCCAATGATTTTTTTTAAATTTTGTTAATAAATAATTTTGCATCTTTAGAAATAATTTGTATAAATACATTTCTGTTGCGAAAATAGCACATTGCACGAAGGAAAATGTCGAAATTTGACGATTTATTCACACGTGTATGTATTCGAAATAAATTTGAGAGAAAGAATTTTAAAAATTGTATCTTTATTCAAATGAATAAACTTATTTATTTAGCTTTTTTATTTATATACTAAAATAGTTTTCGATTTTTAATTTAATTATTATAATGATTTCGATGTGTGAAATATAGTTTTTTTTATTAAAATATATCATCAAATGAGTTTTCTTATTTTCATAGTTTTTTTTCTGATCTTTAACAATTGCACACACCTTACAATTTTGACGTATGAATTAAATAATCAGTTGAAGTCAATTCTTAAGATGCATGATGAAGAACTCATTCTCTCGTATCATGTGTACCTTTTGTCAAATAAAAAAAATCATCAATATTTTTCTCAACCGCAATATATTAATGCTATTTCATATATTGTACAAATATTTATTTGGATCATACATAATAATGTATTTTTATATATTATACAAAGTATTGAACTTATTTTGAAAATCATTTTCATTTTGTCGAAAATCTAATACATAAATGCAAAATTAAATTTGTGACAATTATTTCAAATTACAAATCTCTATCAATTGTTTCAATATACTTGGCTAATTAATTATTTTCATATTTAGTTTTGATTTTTTTTAGGAAAATTATATAAATTTTTTGAAGAAAAATTTTTATAAATTATTTATTATTTTTTTAAGGGTATTTTTTTATTAAACGTTTTATTGCATATATAAGGTGGAATGTTTTTTTATGTACTTGGCGTATTTCTTTTTATCTTTGTAAGGTTTTTTTTGGAGGGATTCTCAATTTTTAAATAAATTATATAAGACATGCAAATTGAAAATCTCTTCTGTAAGAGAATTAATAATTAATTTCCAATAATTTTATCAACTTTAGGATTTAATATAATTACAAGAGATTACTATAGAAATATTTACTCGAAAAAATAGCCTTATTCATTTTTAATAATTGCAGAAAATGAAAATATCTGGATACGCACAATGTGCGATACATATTTCTTCACGCGAATCTGTACATCTTAACATAACGCTGCAAGTTTCGATTCTGGTGATTACCAGGGTTGGGTAAGTTTATATTTTTTTTTAATTAAATTAAGTTAAAGTTAATGGGTTAAAAAATTAATTTAGTTATGTTAAAAGTTATACAAATAAAAAATTAACTCAATAAAAGTTACGTTAAGATTAAATTAACGTTAGTTAAGATAAAAGTTAAAATTTTGAAAAGCACTATTTCACTTTATATTAAATTAGATTGTAATTTTAAAATTAGATTACTCTAAATAATAATAATATGAATCATCAAATAAATTTGGGGGGAAAGTTAATAAATTTAAGTTTATGTGTTTTAAAAATAACTAGTTAAAGTTAAAAGTTAACTCTTTTTAAAATAACTAAGTTGAGTTAAAAATTATTAACTTTTTAACTCAACTTTTTAACTTTTTTAACTTTTAACTAATCAACTAGTTATTATCCAACCCTGGTGATTACATTTGGAAGCATATCGTGCGAATACGTAATAAATTTCGAATTTCTATTGGAGTTTTTCGGGCTTTTCCAGTTTAACGCGAGAGTAGTCATAATAAAGGCCATTGGCTTAATGAAAGTAAAATTACTTGACTGCCCCGTTTTAATTGCTTGTTTGTGAGTTTCCCATCTTCATGAGCGAAGCATCAAGTTTCTAGCATCATCTAAACATGGAAAGTTGTTTGTCGAATCGCAAATCATGAAGCTGCATCGTATCGGATTCTTATGCATACACAGATAAGAGCTTTGCGTTATTGCTAGGTAGAAAACCGTTTATTAATTAGGATGAAAAGGAGAAGCAGTTCTGACAAGAAAACCGCGAAATAGAAACAAAACTATCGATCTCTCAGATAATTATAGTCGCTAGAATCATCGTAACGGAAGAGGTGTGGTTCGAAGACAGAAAAAATGCATAGATTAACGTTAAAAAAATTCCCAGACTCTCCGATCGATGATATCTGGTTCAACAGCAAATCAGCTGTTTTCTTTATAATCGCACATATATATATAAGGTGTATCTAAAATAATACACTAAACTTTAGGAGCCTAGAGGTCAAAATAAGACTTTTTTTCTTATGAACATGAGTCCGCAAATGAACCCCCCTCCGAACTAAAAATATGTGAAATTGACCAAATACTCGTAACGCAAATTTATTTATCTCTCAAGAGAGGATAATAAGTAACGTCAAAACCTTTTTTTTTCTTAAATAGTCAATTTTTAATTTTTTCCCCAAACTTTAGCTCGGAGAAGGGTTCATTTGCGGATCCATGTTCATAGGAAAAAAAAGTCTTATTTTGACTTCTAGAATACGCTCCTAAAATTTAGTGCATCATTTCAGATACACCCTGTATAGAATACAGGTTTGATCCGATCGGAATATTAAAGACGGCGCGTTAACGTATCTTATTCATTCGGTCGCTAACGTTGTAGCCACAAGTGACAATATATATTTACATAAATCTATGTATAATCTTCTGATAAGATTAATTTTTTCGAATATATTATTCTGATAAGAGACCGGTGCTTTTAAAATACATTACAGTTTTCTCTTGCAGTTTCTCTCACTTTTGTACATACATGATCGCGAATTATAATGCATACGCATGGTATTGCAAAATTACAATATTTTCTTCTAATTATAAATATTTTAATCAATTTCCGAAATCGATCTTTTTACATAAAAAGTCATGAGGAAAATATTTTAATTTTAAATTCTTAAAATAAAGCTTACAATTAGTTTATGAAAAATTTTGAATCAAGAATTATTGGAATGTCGTTTATTGCATTTTCCAAATTTAAACGTTTATAATATACAGGGTATACGAAAAGTCTGGAAACAATCGAATATTTCATAAACTATTCATTTTAGAAAAAAATGTTTCAGACAAAAGTTGTAAGGTTTGCAATTGACAGTTACATATATTTTTCTTAAAAACAACTGTGCGTTTTTTTATGCTAATTGATTCCTCTCATTATTTTGAGCATAAAAGTACTGAGGTAAGATAATCGAAAAATGAATATTTTACGAGATATTTTATAATTTATGTAAAATTAAGAAATTACTTCGAATTTTATAACTCAAAAAGTATTTAATAAAAAATACTTAATTATAGTATTTTGGAAAGCTCTCGAAATAAATTACAAGAATATGTAATAAGAAATAAAGGTTTTCGATTAAAAAATTCAAGATGTCCTTCATGTAACCTTGGCAACGCCACTTGTGATCATGCTAATAAGATTAGTAAATAGATATTTTAGAGCCCTACAACTTTTGTCTGAAACATTTTTTTCTAAAATGAATAGTTTATGAAATATTCGACTGTTTCCAAACTTTTCATACACCCTGTATATTTATAAATATTATACTATCGATTTTTAAATATGGATATAATATTTATATTTACTTTTTTAAATAAAATTTCTTAAATAATATTTACTTTTTTAAATAAAATTTTATATAAAATTTCAATTTAATATTAAGAAATCTGTGTAATCTACCACTACTGATGATTTATGATTTGTGTGAATTGGACTGGAATTTATGAAAATATATTCACATTTAATATCTGTTGATTAATGTGACATTCATTTTCTTTGACGATAAGAAATAGATTCTAAATTAATTGAACCAAATGCATTCATTAATCATATCAGTAGAATTCGAAGATTAATGTGATTCAAGCACATTCCATTATTTGATTTGTTTGCAATTTACACTCAGCTTTCTAATTAAAATTAATAAATAGTATGCAATATACACACACACATAATTAAACAATACGCAGATATGATCAAAATATATCTTTTATTATGTCATAATCTTATTTATGTCATAAATCTTATTTATTCGAAAATACATTGATTATACCCATCCTTATTATTTGCGTGAATCTCTATTACAATAAAAATTTATATCTCTAAAAAAAATCTTTAACTACAAATGTACATCTTTACAATAAATGTACATCATTACAATAAAAATTTATATCTCTAAAAAAAATCTTTAACTACAAATGTACATGTTACGTGTATCTAAAATTTCCTTAGATATTCACACTTTCGAATTATACGCATGACTACACAAAGTAATGCTAATCGCTAACCGCTGGGACCACAAACTTATGATTTTTCCATTTCGATCCATTTCGATAACCGCAATCCTTGATGAAAGTATCATAAATGTTTCTAATCGCGCTCGATGCTTTTTTACAGATTAAATTATTGGTAATAATTCAATTGAAATTGAAGCGGCGTTTTCCATCGAAACGAAATCCATAAGCCGCGCTGTTGGGCGCGTCAACCAGCGCGGGATTTCGATACTGATGAAAGGATCCGTGAAGATGGGGCGGTCTCACGGCGTTTTGCTCCTCGTCCTGCATACCTTTCAAGTAAAACGCCTCGAATTGGCCCTCGGGTAAGAGAATATCCTTCAGAGATTTGTCGTCCGGATCGTATGCCGCCACGACCATAATTAACGCGACGAGAAGACACAAAATCTGCGAATTATAAAATATATTATATTATATTATATTATATTATATTATATTATATTATATTATATTATATTATATTATTTTATTTTATATTATACAGAGTGTCCCAAAAGTCCCGGTCGAATATTTCATAAACTATGCACTTTAGAAAGAAATGTTTCAGACAAAAGTTGTATGGCTTGAAGGGGGCCATCAGATAGTAGCAATGATTTGACATGGGAGAGTCATTTGAATGTGAGATAAAGGTCACCTTCAATTTCTTAAATGGAACCTACTATTTTTCATTGCATATTCTTGTAGCTTATCTCGAGGGCTTTCCAAAACACTATAATAAAGTATTTCTTCATTGAGTATTTTTCGAGTTATGAGGTTTGAAATCATTTCTTAATTTTGCATAGACCATAAAATATCTAGTAAAATATTCATTTTTCGATTATCTTACCTTAATCATTTTATGTACAAAATAATGAAAGAAATCAATTGGTGTAAAGAAAATACATAGTTGTTTAAAAAAAAAATATGTAATTTGCAATTAACAATTACATTTTTTTTTTTAAACAACTATGTGTTTTTTCAACTATGTGTTTTTTCTCTCGAGATAAGCTACACGAATGTGTAATAAAAAATAGGAAGTTCCATTTAAGAAATTGAAGGTGACCTTTTCCTCACCTTCAAATGACTCTCCCGTGTCAAATCATTGCCACTATCTGATGGTCCCCTTCAAGCCATACAACTTTTGTCTGAAACATTTCTTTCTAAAGTGCATAGTTTATGAAATATTCGACCGGTCCGGGACTTTTGGGACATTCTGTATATTATTTTATATTATATTTTATATTATATTTTTTATATTATTTTATATTTTTCTGAAATGTAAAAAAAGCTCCCTAAAAAGTTTCTTGATAAGAGTCCAATAGCGGACTATTGGACAATTAAATGCATTAAAATGCTAAGAAGTCTTATTACAATCATCATTGGAATAATTAATGATTTTTTTATTACAATCATCATTGGAATAATTGAAATAATTAAAGGAGTGATAAGCGACAGTGATTTTCAATAGACAAAGTATACGTACTAATAAAATGTTTCCCTCGCTCCATGTCATTATTATTTTCCGCTCCATTTTCTCGGTGATATCTTGCGCGATCAAGACGAATTAAAGTGACAACTAATATGACGTGATGTTGTATCGATGGCGATGTCGCCGTATAAATCTCTCTTGGCTAAATCAATGAAACAGGGAAAGCGATGATGAATCGGGTCATTCGTCAGATTAATTACATGTTGTGTCTCATGACATTACTGCAAATGTGTTCGTAATTAATTGCAAATGAAGGAAAGAAAAAAACGCGGTTGTTCAACCGTAAAGTGCAAATTTCGCTGGACGATAATGTCCACGATCGGATAATATTCACGTGGATTCAATGTTGCGTGTGAAACATGAGCATCGCCTCGATTCGCAGGATAAATCTAGAGTAAAATACATCGTGCCTCTAATAATAAGCCTCTTCCGTAAAACTGAGTCTTAAGAGAAAATCAAAGTAGGAGCAAGAGATCTCGTGTAAGAAAGATCTCACGAAAGAGGCTAATTTAAATTCGAAAACTTCAAAGTAAAGAAAAAATATATTGAAAAGAGATAACGTTAGAGGGAAATTAAATTCTGAGAGAAAAATCGACTCGTACGCTTCGTATTTGTTTATGCTTGGATCTTTAAAGATGGGCGCATAATTGCAATGTAAATTGCTCGAAATAACGATATCATGATATTTATTATTTTATTATTTAATTTATTTATTTTATTTTTTATTTATTATTTAATTTATTATTTTATTTTAAACACGATTCTCTCTAAGAGATATCATCTTAAACAAGAAAAAAGATCACATTTTTACAATTGTTCTTTCATTCTCAGTTATGTATATATGCATACGTAAGAGAAAATCGAACACCTTGTACCTTGACCGTTCACTTATTACGAAACAAACTGTTAACGAAATGCAAGATCTTTCATCGCACGCGTCCGGACAGTACAAAAATTTAAAAGATCTAAAGAAAAATATAAAGACATTTTTTAAGACATTTTTGCAACGCAAATTTGAGTTAATAATAAATCAATAGAAGCGTCAATCGTCGTGAAAAGCCCGTATTTTTACAAATTGATTTAACTGATGTTCCTAAACAGCACACAATATTTATGATAAATATCTATAAATATTTTTATAATTTATTTTTTCAAAATATTATATAAATATTTTATACATATTTTATGTACATTAAAAGAAGTAGTCAGAAAAACTTTATTCGATATATTGTTAAAACATAAATAAATATTTTATATAATATTTATGATATAAAAATAAACGATAAATAAACGATAAATAAACGATATTTATAGTAATATTTTGTAAATATTTCTCAAATGTTTGTTAAAAACACTGTTTCATAGAAATGCAAATTAGCACCCGGCTGTGTTACAAACGAAAATAAAGCAAATGTATGTATATTTTATTGTATTTTTTCTCAGAAAGGAGCTCGTTCGTGAATATGTATATATATATTTTTTTATTTATAATAAATTTTTATGATATAGTAAACTTAAGAACGTGAAAATATTTATAAAATATTTATAAAATATTTATAAAATGTTCAAATCAAATATTATATATACAGTGACCGGCAAAAATAAAAAGCCACCTTAACTATAAAACTGATTTGATGCTAAAAGGTAAAAAAAATTCATTATAAAGTTTTTTATAACTAAAACTGAAAATTTATTAAGTAATTTAATGTTTTTAATTAAAAAGAAATCATTTTTTATTTAATACTGTATTTATTTCTATATAATCATTTATTTAAGAGTGACAAAATAAAAAAGCCAGTTAAGGTAACATAGTATTACGATTTAAAAAAACAACAATATTATTTTAATTAATAATTAATATGATTTCCTTTAGCCTCAATTACTTTTTGCAGTCTTTTTGGTATACTTTCAATTAAATTTTTTAAATGTTGTGGATCCAAATTCTCCCAGGCTAGTTGTAATGCTTCAAAATAAGAATTCTTGTTAGTTACTCCGCTTTTATTAATCCTATTATCCAAAATTGCCCAGAAATTTTCGATAGGGTTTAAATCTGGAGATTGCGGAGGCCATTCAAGTTGTTTAATTCGGCAGGAACGAAAAAAAGCTTGACTTTTCTTTGCTGTGTGTTTCGAGTCATTATCTTGTTGGAAAATGAAATTATCTTCTAGTCCGAGTTTCAACAAACACTCCTCCAAATTTTCATTTATTATATCAATGTAAACATCTGCTGTCATAATTCCGTTAATTTTGACAAGATTTCCCACTCCTGCCCATGAGAAACATCCCCAGACTAAAATATTTCCTCCGCCATACTTTACAGTTTTCTGAATGACGATCTTGAAGCTCTTCGCCGTGTTTTCTCCAGACTCTAATCCGCTTCTTTTGTCCAAATAACTCGAATTTGCTTTCATCTGTCCATAAAATATTTTTCCAGAAGTCCAATGACATATTTGCATACTTCCGAGCAAATTGCAAACGTTTTTTCTTATTGGTGACGCTAAAGAAAGGTCGTTTACGTGCAAACCGGCTGTGTAAATTTGCTTCATTGAGTCTTCGACGTACAGTGCGGTCAGAAACAGTAAGATAAATGTTTTCCTGAATTTCTCTAACAGTAATCTTTGGATTTTTCTTAACTTCACGGATTATTTTCATATCCTCCCGCTTGGATGTTGCTCGTTTTCGACCTCTTCCGATTCTATCTGCCACCGATCCAGTTGATTGAAATTTTCTTCTGATCTGTTTCTACTGCTCCTCTACTTACTTCATAATTTTTGGCTATATTCCGTTGGGAAAGACCTTTTTGAATATCTCGCACAATTAAGTTTCGAACTTGTGTGGAAATTGATCTTCCTCCCATTTTTGACCGCGAATTTTTTGTAATAATCGAGATAAGCCAATGTTGCAAAAATGATTAACAACAACGAGAAGTGAGCGCAATAACATGAACATGTTGACATGACAACCAAACAAAATATTGTATATATTAAATCGAAAAAATCTGAATGGCTTTTTTATTTTGTCAATATAATAAACAGCAATATTTAAGAAATATAAATAAAACTGAAAAGTAAAAAATAATTTATGTGATTGTAACATAAAATTTTAAAATAAATAATAAATGCTTCTTCTTTCATCAATGAAAATCTCATTGTTTTAATATTTTTACTCTTTCATTAAGCAAAACAGTATAACTAGGAAAATGGCTTTTTATTTTTGCCGGTCACTGTATATAATATTTGACTTGAATAGTTTAGAAATATTTTATAAATATTTTTACGCCCTTAAATTTACTAGAAAAATTTATTATAAATAAAAAAGATTTAAAAAAAGATATATATATTTTTTTATTTATAATAAATTTTTCTAGTAAACTTAAAGGCCTCAAAATATTTATAAAATATTCAAGTCAAATATTATAAATATTTTATAAATATTGTGTGCTGCCTGAGATTAAAGATTGCAGATCACGCGAGAGAAAAATCATATTTCTTCATCACTTTCTTTCTTTTACGCGAAATGAGATGAATTAGTTAGAGTTGTTATTTTGACAAGCCGTTGAAAAGTTGAATATTTATATTCTGCGAATTAATCGCACGTATCATCACCATAGATCTGGACTCTTCGAGATAAGGCATCAGTAAATAACCGTAAAAAGGCGTTTACACACAAGCCTATTTAATTAGGGATCACGATGATCCGCGGAGCACGAAAGCGAAAGTATTTAAGCAAAGCGTAACGAAGTGAAGCGTCTCCTGAGCCACTTTACGGGTCTTTAACGCCTCGAGGCCAACACTCTTACAGATTGATCAACCTGACGTCGAGGACACCTCTACATTTTCTATATAAATTACAAAAAAAAACCAAGCAAAACTAACTACAACGTAATCTAATCTATAATAGAAAAAGGAAGCGCGCCATTTACCCAAACTTTTCCGCAAAGACCGATCTCGCCGATCATTCAACAGTCAACAGATCCCTCCATCTGGTCGAATCGATACTCGACAATCGAGTAGTTGGGTCAACGAATATTGCCGTCTAAAATTAAGATAAAAAAGAAAACATTAATCTCGGATAGTGTCAAGCTCCGTCCATCAATCTACTCTTGATATTCGTCGGACACGTGCCTAGGTAAATGACACCTTCGGGAAATCGCGCGCACGCGTGGACTCTCGCGCGGAAAGACTTGGGAGGACTCGCCGAGAGTCGTATCGCCGGGAAAAAGTGAAAGCCAGCAGCGGCGTCGGCGCACGCGATATAGAGGCGGATTTCAAGCGTCACCTTCGCGGCCTTGTCGCGTTCCTCGTCCGCGAGGAGAAGTCCCCCGTTCGCAAAAACGGAAGTCGATGAAAATGGAAAACCGAGCCGAGCGACCCGTGCGCGCGCTCTTTGCTTTTTGCCGCCACACAGAAAAAAAAGAAGTGTCAAATCAAAATTTATAGACTTAAACTAACGCGTTCATTGTTTCATATATATACGCAATAATTTATAATCTTCTTAGAAGAATTAAATAATTTTAAATTTCAACAATATTACCGTCTTATTTTAATATATTGTAATTGTCATCTTAAGAATATATAATTATTTAATTCTACTTTAAGAAAATTATAATCTTTGATTTAAAAATGTTATTTTCTATCCAACATTGTTTCTTTTCCATTCAAAATTAAATCTTAAATCTTAAGAATATATTTTTCTTGATCGAACTATATTAAATGACTTCATTCATGTAAGCAATTATTCAAACAATTATATTTTTCTTTAATTACGCGATATAAACTCATTTCAAAATTTCCATGTTAAAATTAAATATATTTTCAAAACGAAAATGTCATTTTTTCTATGTAACGTGATTATTCCTTAAACTCACAGAAAAAAAAGAAGTGTCAAATCAAAACTTATATACTTAAACTAACGCGTTCATTGTTTCGTATATAAACGTAATAATTTATAATCTTCTTAGAAGAATTTAATAATTTTAAATTTCAACAATATTATCGTCTTATTTTAATATTGTAATTGTCACCCTAAGAATATATAATTATATAATTCTATTTTAAGAAAATTATAATCTTTCATTTAAAAATGTTATTTTCTATCCAACATTGTTTCCTTTCCATTCAAGAAAATTAAATCTTAAATCTTAAGAATATATTTTTCTTGATCGAACTATATTAAATGACTTCAAGTAAGCTAATTTTATTTAAACAATTATATTTTTCTTTAATTAACGCGATATAATCTCATTTCAAAATTTCCATGTTAAAATTAAATATATTTTCAAAACGAAAATGTCATTTTTTCAGTGTAACGTGATTATTCCTTAAACTCACAGAAAAAAAAAGAAGTGTCAAATTAAAACTTATATACTTAAACTAACGCGTTCATTGTTTCGCATATAGAGGGTGTTCAAAAAGTCCCGGTACGGGGGAATAACTCGAAAAGTAAGGGTCGGACAAAGAAACTTTTCCAACAAAAGTTGTAGGGCTTACTCCGAGCTTTTATCTCGTGACCTTGAGTTTGACCTTGAGCTTGACCTTCAAGGTTATTTGAAGGTCAAAGTGTTTTTTTTAAATGGGAACCCCTATTTTTGATTGTATATTCTTATAGCTGACCTCGAGAGCTTTCCAAAACACTAAACTAATAAAATATTTTTCCCTCAAGCATTTATCGAGTTATGAGGCTTCAAATCATTTCTTAATTTTACATAAACCGTAAAATATCTTGTAAAATATTCACTTTTCGATTATTTTACCTTAATACTTTTATGTACAAAATAATGAGAGGAATCAATTGGTCTAAAAAAAACACATAATTGTTCCGAAGAAAAAATATGTAATTTGCAATTAACAATTACATATTTTTTCTTAAAAACAACTGTATGTTTTCTTTACACCAATTGATTCCTCTCATTATTTTGTACATAAAAGTATTAAGGTAAAATAATCGAAAAGTGAATATTTTACAAGATATTTTACGGTTTATGTAAAATTAAGAAATGATTTGAAGCCTCATAACTCGATAAATACTTGAGGGAAAAATATTTTATTATAGTGTTTTGGAAAGCTCTCGAGGTCAGCTATAAGAATATACAATCAAAAATAGGGGTTCCCATTTAAAAAAAACACTTTGACCTTCAAATAACCTTGAAGGTCAAGCTCAAGGTCAAACTCAAGGTCGCGAGATAAAAGCTCGGAGTAAGCCCTACAACTTTTGTCCGAAAAGTTTCTTTGTCCGACCCTTACTTTTCGAGTTATTCCCCCGTACCGGGACTTTTTGAACACCCTGTATATGCAATAATTTATAATCTTCTTAAAAGAATTAAATAATTTTAAATTTCAACAATATTATCGTCTTTTATATTGTAATTGTCACCTTAAGAATATATAATTATTTAATTCTACTTTAAGAAAATTATAATCTTTGATTTAAAAATGTTATTTTCTATCCAACATTGTTTCTTTTCCATTCAAGAAAATTAAATCTTAAATCATGCGAATATATTTTTCTCGATTGAACTATATAAAATGGCTTCATTCAAGTAAGCAATTATTCAAACAATTATTTTTTTTCTTTAATTAACGCGATATAATCTCATTTCAAAATTTTCATGTTAAAATTAAATATATTTTCAAAACGAAAATGTCCTTTTTCTGTGTAACGTGATTATTCCTTAAACGCACAGAAAAAAAAGAAGTGTCAAATCAAAACTTATATATTTAAACTAACGCGTTCATTGTTTCGTATATACGCAACAATTTCTAATCTTCTTAGAAGAATTTAATAATTTTAAATTTCAACAATATTATCGTCTTATTTTAATATTGTAATTATCACCTTAAGAATATATAATTATTTAATTCTACTTTAAGAAAATTATAATCTTTGATTTAAAAATTTATTTTCTATCCAACATTGTTTCTTTTCCATTCAAGAAAATTAAATCTTAAATCATGCGAATATATTTTTCTCGATTGAACTATATAAAATGGCTTCATTCAAGTAAGCAATTATTCAAACAATTATTTTTTTTCTTTAATTAACGCGATATAATCTCATTTCAAAATTTCCATGGGTAAAACTAAATATTCAAAAACTAAATTTTCAAAATAAGAATGTTCTTTTTTCGTGCAGAGACACGTGGACGTGCACGCCTCGCGATTGACGTATCTCCTCGAAGCGGATAAACAATACGCTTTTTCTGCTCGGCTGACGCTTTTTAGGCGCCTTTTACTTCTTTAATGCCTTTAATTCTCTATTTATCCACCGCTTCTTATGTTTAGATAATAATAATCAAATATGATTGTGCGTTCGATACGAGGAGATATCGTCTCCATGATCAAGTAGCAGTGAAAAGAGAAGCTCAATTGAATTTCTCGATTGAAAGATTATAGGCAAATAAAAAATATGAGGCAGATGCAATCATGAAATTATCTATGGAATTGATGTAATTATGATCTGAATAAAAAGAGATCCAATGGTGCTTTCTTAGTGGTAACGAAAGTAAAATGGAATCGATTTAAACACAATTCTACGACAAACGTGAAAATCGAATTGCAATAATCGATAATTATTGTACATTAAATTATTATCCAAAACATATATTTTTGATAAAATAATTATATATATATATATATATATATATATATATATATTATATATATATATATATATATATATATATATTAATAATTAATGTATATTGTAATATTAAAAATATTATTTTAATACTTTGCGTGTGGCAGTCACACAGAGAAATCAAAGTAATAATGTTATTCCGTGGAATATATCGCAACGTTAAATCATCAAACAATTAAGTAGAGTTAATGATACCCTAGATCGTTACTATTTCTGCTAATTATTGACTTTTACTTTAGAAGTTGCTGTTGGGATAATTAAATTTATATATTACAACTTGAGACACATGGTTCTCATTGCCACGTTATATATGACTACAGAAATCAATGTCAGTTTGTTCAATTCTCGTATTTTACGAGAAATTTTATTTATTTGCGTGTATGTATGTATATGTGTGTAAAAAAATCTCTGACAATATAACTCTTAATAATATGACAATATTTATTTTCAAATGTTTGGAGAGCGAGTATAGAAAGTAATATGGAGAAATTATTACTGCAGATTAGATTAAAATGCTAATTATTGCCAATCTTTTTCACATTAGCGATCGCACGACTGATCGCTCGTTTCCAAGTCAAGCAGAGAAATCTTCGAATGCGAGTTTACAAATGCGCGACTCAAGAGATTATCGCTGACTGGATTGTTCTCGCAAGATCAGATGGAATTTTGGACATAGCGACTCGAGAAGGACGTGATTTAATTATCCAAAGAAAAATACTTGGATTCAAAAGGAAATAAAATGCTCTCGTTTTTAAACCTTCATACATCGAAACGAGTTTCCTTCGCATCTAATCCACGCTGGCGCATTAGCTCTGAATTGAGAATAAAGAAAGAACATTTTTAGTTAATTTGTTCTTAAAAGTTAATATTTTCTTTTAATATTTATAAATAATAATTCGATTTATATATAAATTGAAAATTGAAAAAATGTTTTTCTTTTTAGCTTGTAAAAGATGTTTTTTAATATTTAATATTAATGTTTAATATTAATAATATTTAATATTAATGTTTTTCTTTGTAGCTTGTAAAAGATAATGTTTTTTAATATTTATAAATAATAATTCGATTTATATATAAATTGAAAATTGAAAGAATGTTTTTCTTTTTAGCTTGTAAAATATGTTTTTAATATTTAATATTAATGTTTAATATTAATAATAATGTTTAATATTAATAATAATGTTTAATATTAATAATAATGTTTAATATTAATAATATTTAATATTAATGTTTTTCTTTGTAGCTTGTAAAAGATGTTTTTTAATATTTATAAATAATAATTCGATTTTATATATAAATTGAAAATTGAAAGAATATTTTTCTTTTTAGCTTGTAAAAGATAATGTTTTTAATATTTAATATTAATGTTTAATATTAATAATAATATTTAATATTAATGTTTTTCTTTTTAGCTTGTAAAAGATAATGTTTTTTAATATTTATAAATAATAATTCGATTTATATATAAATTGAAAATTGAAAGAATGTTTTTCTTTTTAGCTTGTAAAAGATAATGTTTTTAATATTTAATATTAATGTTTAATATTAATAATAATATTTAATATTAATGTTTTTCTTTTTAGCTTGTAAAAGATAATGTTTTTAATATTTAATATTAATGTTTAATATTAATAATAATATTTAATATTAATGTTTTTCTTTGTAGCTTGTAAAAGATGTTTTTTAATATTTATAAATAATAATTCGATTTTATATATAAATTGAAAATTGAAAGAATGTTTTTCTTTTTAGCTTGTAAAAGATAATGTTTTTTAATATTTATAAATAATAATTCGATTATATAAATTGAAAATTGAAAAAATGTTTTTCTTGTTAGCTTGTAAAAGATAATGTTTTTTAATATTTAATATTAATGTTTAATATTAATAATAATATTTAATATTAATGTTTTTCTTTGTGGCTTGTAAAAGATGTTTTTTAATATTTATAAATAATAATTCAATTTATATATAAATTGAAAATTGAAAGAATGTTTTTCTTTTTAGCTTGTAAAAGATAATGTTTTTAATATTTAATATTAATGTTTAATATTAATAATAATATTTAATATTAATGTTTTTCTTTTTAGCTTGTAAAAGATAATGTTTTTTTTAATATTTATAAATAATAATTCGATTTATATATAAATTGAAAATTGAAAAAATGTTTTTCTTTTTAGCTTGTAAAAGATAATGTTTTTTTAATATTTATAAATAATAATTCGATTTATATATAAATTGAAAATTGAAAAATGTTTTTCTTTTTAGCTTGTAAATGATAATAGAGCATTAACAAATATACACATTAAATTAAATTAAAATTGAACTATATTATAAGTATAAAAGTCATTTATAAAAATTATCTTGTTAACAATGATGCACTTTTGTTGTATAATAATACGAATATTTCGTTAAAAATTGAAAAGCCGATTAAAATATATATTAAATGATTGAACAGAATTATTTTACAAATTACGAGTTTGAATGTATAACAATATGAAATATGTGAAATCCTAACTCATGAGAAAGAAGGCGAGAGAGAGATGAATGAAAGATGAATATATCAAAAAACTGTCTCCATTATTCATTATAATCTTAATACAATCATCATAATATCTAGATTATACGAGTATTATATTTTTGTTTCGTCAGAATAAATATGTAGACATGGTTCATCTGTAGATGTTATATTTCTTTAGATAAAGTATAATTACCAGAGCCGGATTTACTCATAGGCGCATTATCTCGGGCCATAAATTCAGGGGCCTTTGACAAACACACATTATTATAAAAAGTAATACTAAACTATTGATTTAAACATATGATGAATATTGTTATGCAACATGTGTTACGTAACATTTTTTTGTTAAAAAGACAAGAATTATTCTTTTTTATGTGTGAGATAAAGTTCTACTATAATATAAAAATTAGAATTTATAATGAATTCACTCATGTAAAATTCGTTATTGTACTATTCATAAGGAAATTAATAAAACACATTAAATAGCTAACAACTTAAATAATTTTGCGAAATTTAACAAAAGAAAAAAACATTTACAGATGTTATATATGCATGAATGTTTATTATAATCTTATGAAAAATTAATTAGGCCTAATTATATTTGCAATGTTATATATAACAATGTTATATATAGCACATTTATTAAATATGTTCATTTTCTGTATCTAAATTTATGTACTTTAGTATCTCGAAAAATATAGTATCTAAAGAAAACGTAAATTCAGCCCTGATTATTATTTTTAAGTACTTTTCTCTAATGTCGTCATAACGCAATTCGGGCAATATTTTGCGGACAATAGTATAAAATTACAAATATTCCACGCGCGCGAAAGAGAGATGTAAATATATTATAATGTAAATATATTATGATATATATATTAAATATCTATATTTAAATATATTTTATATTGTGAATTTCTCACTTATACCTTTTTTATTATAATTGCAAGAATTGTGTTACATATTATATTATACAACTTCTATGTATATATATATGTAATCAATTCTCAAATGTATAATATAAAATAAATGAATAATATAGCAACAAAAAGAATTTTTATAAAAATAATATAGCAATAGAATTTTTATAAAAAAAAAATTGAAAATAATTAACCATAATAATAATAAAAGCTCCTATTTCCTTATTAATCATTAAAATATGATGTTCAAAGTAAGAAATTTGAAGCAAGAAAGAATGAATTTTTGTTATACATAATAATAATTTTCCTATACATAATAAGTTTTCTCGCGTCATCACATATTTGATAACATGAATTTGTGAAAATACACTGAAAATTTGGTTATTACATTAATAAATTGTTATATTTGAAATAGTTGCTTGTTTTATACATTTGTAACAAAAGTCAACTTTATAGTAATTGATCCAGATTTACAATCTTTCATTAATGTACAAGTCAAAACGAAGTTTGTCAACAAATCCAAACAAGTCCAAAAAGTTAAAATTTATATTATCAAATATAGTGACCAAATATCAAATGGAAAATAAATTTATTTTCCATTTTTTATTTTCGATACATTTCAGAGATTTGTATAATTTTTTACTTTTGATATCATAAATTAATGATATAAATGAGGGACAAAGAGCCTTAAGCTACATTAAATTTTTCAAATTATTAACTTTCAATACTTTTACTATCACAATGTCTTCTTTACGAAAGATAAGTAAAAATTTGAGAAATAATATAAAATCTGCACGAAATTATACAAAATTTTCAATATTATAAACACAATATATCTGTTTTTATGCATATATACAGAATAATTCTAGAAAATGGAAAAATTTTACATGATTTAAAGAATTTTGAGAAAAACTGATTTTTATATAAAGGTTTTATATAAAGATTACATTTTAAAAAATGTAAACTAAATAAAAATAAATTTATAAAAAGGAAGGAAAATAAAATGCAATTGTTGTTTACAAATGTATCAGCACATTTGTTGAGAAAGTATCATAAAAAGGAAAAACTCATTAAAATATACATGTGTGCTCAAAATTCTTTTTTGATATTTTTCTTCATTTTTTAGAACCAATCTGTATTTCAATCACACACGACCATTAAAATTAATTATTATTTATGTACACTAATATTCCTCTATATAAGTCATGGTTATATGTATCAAAATATATAATTCAGACAGAATATAGATATGAATCTAGTTTTGTCTTTGCATTAGGAGGTGAGGTAAAAGGGGAGAACCAAGCTATCGAAAATCTTCCAAAAACTGCCTGAATTGATTTCCATCTACTATTACGAACCCATCTAGCTTCCTCTTTTTTAAGTTGTTCTATACCCTGCAATATATATTTTTATGAATGTAAATTGTATTTTTGCTTTTATATAATTTCACAAAAAAATAATTTAAATGTACATACAGTTTCATCATTCCAAATAGCTTGTAGTTGCGTGCCTAACATCACAGCAGTAAAAATGGCAAATAAAAGTGCTTCAAATGCCAAAAATAATAATAACACTACCGTCGCTGGCGGGTTAAATGTGGAGCATTCCCTCCATTCTTGTCTGACACATGTGGTGAATTGTTGTATACACAAAAATAGAGATTGTAGAGATATGCCCGCTATATAAAACTAAAATATAACAAAAAATATATTCAAGGAGATTATTGTACAATACAAAGTATTTCAATAAATTTACATTAGAAATACTAAATATGTTTTGATAAGTTTCAACTGATTTTTTTTTGCAAAAGTTTACATCACATATAGTTGTATGTACATAATTTTTAAAATACTTACAGTAAAAAGTACAAAGTATTTTTGATTATTTTCCCCCACACAATTGTTAACCCATGGACAATGATGATCCATTTTTCTAATACACCTTAATATTGCAATAATATAATCAATACTAATTGTGCACCACCTCATATATACAAACTTGATTGTATCAATTTACCTTTGGCAAACGGAGCAATGATGTGCTCTGTCAGGCTTGATAGAACAACATTTTGGACACTTAAAGATAACTTGTCCGTCTCTAAATCCCATTTGTTGTATCATCTCTTTTGTTGCATTACCTTTTGGTACTGCACCCTATGTATAAGAGCAAAAAATCATAATGTATCTTATTACAATATATGTTCAAATATCTCTGATAAATAAATATTAAATATTATCTTAATTACCGGATCTGTAAACATGGTTCTTAAATGTGATGCAAAAGCCAAAAATGCTAGAGACTGAAAAATGGCCATATTTAGGCTGGAATATAATGTATTTATGGTAGGAATAAGAATCACTGCCATTACTACAAATTCTGCATAAATTATCAGTAGCCATGTTAATACTGCACATATAATGCCACATATATCCTATAAATATAGAAATATTATATTAGAAAAATTACATATTGAAATAAAATTACATAATAATAACTACATAATAAATATGGAAATATTATATTAGAAAAATTACATATTGAAATAAAATATAATTAAAAAGTTTGCTTATAAGTGTCGTTTCTTTTCTTTTCTTTGGTCTTGTAAACATTAAAAAAGATTTTAATGATATCAGTGAATGAGATCATTAAAATCTTTCTGAATAGCAAAGTATGCTAAGTGCTTTTTGATCAAAAAAAACACTATGAAAGCATATTATTCTGTAATCTAATTTTGATCTTGTAATATATAGTCAAAAGTTGATTGTTGGATCCTAAAAATATTAATTTATATTTTGAATATCATATAAAATAAATAATTTTTCCTTTATATGGAACTTTTATATATAATACTTAATTGCTAAAGCAAATCTTAATTACTTGAAAAACTTGCCTTGATGCACCAGAGTTTTCCACCACAACATCTATTATGAAAGTCTTTCTCTCTGTGAAAGGGCATATAATCGTAATCCATCGTTGAAAGTGTTATTATTAACTGAACTGCTGTATCCCTTGTGAAACATAAGAGAGTTCACTGACACCTCCACCTTCGTACACACAAAAACCCGCAACCACATTCCTGAAAAAAAAAAGAAAGAAAGAAAATAAAAATCTGATTATAAAGATACAAGTGTTTCATTTTCAGTGTCAAGTATCACTTGTCTGATACGAGAATCGTATTTAAGCATGTTTTATACCTTTCAAAATATTGAGAATTTAATGAAAATTGTACGGAATGTCCTTACATATATTTAGAATCTTCAGTACAATTTTTAAATCGATTCACTAAAGCGTTCACAAGTTATAAGGATTTTAATTTGCACCGAATTAACATGTGTTCTTATGGGAAACGTATAACCACGTCGATTCAAAAACACATGTCTAGTTTAACATTCTAAGAAACGTTAAAATAAATCTCCAAATAATCTTGAACTTTAACATACAAAATAATCAAAATTAAAGTCAAATGTTTCTATTACAAATAATTTAAGTTAAAATAATTACTATTATAAGTTAATGTCCTACAACAATTCTTACAAGTTTCTGTAACTATTTTTTCATGTAATTTTTAATTAATTTGTATGTTATTTTTACATTACACTTAAAGTCACAATAATAAAAATAAATGTGAAGTATTATGTCAATTATTTAACACCTTTAGTTTATCAATAAGTAATACGACGAATGAGTTATTTTAACTTAAGGATGTTTTGTATATATTGCAAAATATTGAAAATTTCATGAAAAAATTGTACAGAATGTCCTTGCATGTTTCTTCTAAGAATCTTCAGTACAATTTTTAAATTGATTCACAAGTTATAAGGATTTTAATTTGCACCGAATTAACATGTGTTCTGATGGGAAACCACGTCGATTTAAATGACAAAAACACATGGAAATAATGTTCAGAATTTGTTTAAAATTTGCAAAAGTGTAGTTTAGATACAGAGGAAATATTTCGTCAAATAATATTATACAAGTACCAACTTTAAAAAGATATTAAATATAATTCAATGAAGTTAGTATCTATCACCAGGCGAAATTCTCTGCCAAAAGTTAATCATTTCGATTAACAAAATTCATATTTCAGTAAAAACGCAATAAATATTAAAAATACATCTCTGCACTGTAGCCAAGATCAAATTGTAATATTCCACACAATTTCTTACTCAAAATACAAAAGTGGATATATTCGTCAATATTGATTTTCAGCTACTTTTTGCTGGGATTATACATACAAAACATCCTTAATGACAAGATAAATATTTATCAATGTTGCTTATCAAAGATAACAAAGATTTAAATAGTCGCAAAGTACCGGGATATCAGGAATGACATATCAAATTTCTCGAGATTTGACGCGTCGAAATTTCTAACACTCACATTGTTACGCGACGACATGCATTCGTGACGAGCAACAATGTGCGATGTTTGTCATAATTGTTTCGTTCCGTAGCGTCGCCGCAAAACGCGTGCACACCGTGGGTGGAAATTGATTTTTCCGATAACACCTACGATGTTAAATTAGCAACGAGGTGGGTAGGGTGTGCGATGGAACGCGATACACGAGGCTAAATAAATACACGAACGTATATACATTCCAATCTTCCGGGAATTTATCAATTTTCATTCATCAATCGAGAGAAACTAATAGCACGAAGTAACACGGAAAACCAAAAAGACAATCTTGATTCATCGACGAGACAACGTTCCTCCTTTATCCGTCTTCACCCTCGCGTTTATCCCAATGATTCGCAGAACCGTGTAAACGCGTCGCACTGAAGGAGGCGCGATCTGACGATCCGGTTATCACGTGCGCAATCTAGGGGATCCGCGAGGGGCGCGGGCGCCGCTCTTTGACAGATCGGAAATCGAAACGTCATTCGCGGACTCTCGCGAGCGCCGCTCTGGGCTGCGTTCGGAAACATCATCCGAATGTATCTCGACTATCATTTTATCCTTGTTTAACATTCGGTGAACAACAAGGATGAAATGATACCCGGGGGCTTTCGGGTGATGTTTCCGAACGCAGTCCTGATTTGACAGGAGCAGTGTTGTTAAACGAGTCAGGTTTTCTCGCGCATGCGCATTGAATATGATATCACTGAAGTAGTTAATCGCAATGTATTTTATAATACGCAATGTATTTTATTATTATTATTATATTTATATTATTTTATTATTATATTATTATTATTTTATTATTATATTGTTATTATTTTATTATTATTATATATTGTTATTATTTTATTATTATATTATTTTATTATTATATTTCTTTTTATTATATTATTTTATTATTATATTTTTATAATAATATTACTTAATTTAGAATAAGTAATAGTAATAGTATTATAAAATAGTAATAGTATTATAAAATACATTGCGATTAAGAGTGTGTGTATTGTCACATGGCAATCGGAATTTCGGAAAACGAAATTTCGGAAAAGTACTAGAATTTTAGAACTAGGAATTAAACGGGATTGAATTTTTATCTTTATGAGAAAAATTTTGTTATTAATAAATAATTGTTTGGTAAGTATTATTTAATGTACATACAAATATTTAATCAAAATATTTTATCACATAAAATAGTTATCATACTGTCAAGAATAAAAGTTGCGTATTTGTTGGTCCGGTTTTTTTTGTGGCTGGGCTCCCCATGGACTAATATTTCGGAGAATTTCGGAAATTAGTACAAATATAAAAATTTATTTTGATAATTTTCCGACAAAAAAAATAATTGATACAATAGAAAAATATATAAAAAAGTGATATTTGTATGTATTGTTTATTATAACAGAAAATAATAAAAAAATTTTTTAAATTGAAAAACAATTTGAGGTTAGAATAACATTCCGTTTTCCGTAGAAATCACTCCATGAGGAGCGAGGCTATCAGAAAATTGGATTGGAAAAAAATTCTGATTGGTTGATCATCACTCTAGTACTTTTCCGAAATTCTGACTGCCATGTGACAGCACTCTGATTTGACAGGAGTCGAAGAATCCATTCCATTCCGCTCGATCTGACCGACCAATCGGGAACGGAGTTACCAGGGAGCGCCGCGTTCCGATTGGTCGGCCGCGCGTCACTGGACGCCAGTGGATCTTCGAACGCAACGTCAGTCGCCCGCTGGACGTACTCACGTACGGCTGGCGTCGAGAGAGAGAGAGAGAGAGAGAGGGGGGGGCGGCCACGGTCATATTGGCTACTTGTGACTTTTGGGAGGAACGAGTAAAAAATAACCCAACTTTCGTCGTCTCTGCGTCCAGGAAAATGCTGCCCTGGAGTAACGTCCATTGATCCCAGCTACGCCGACCGCATCAGCTGATCGCGCCGGGCCACCTCATCGCTCGCAACGAAGGCTGTGTGTCCTCTGTCTCTCCGTGGAAAATGGTGCGTTCGTCCCCGAGGGGCACGGTCGGACCAACCCCGCCGTCGAAATTTAAGTGAAATTTAACCCCTAGTCTCGTCCTCTGGACGTCACTTACTGTTCCTCTGATTGTAGAGTTTCTTCGGCTTCGGCCAGTCCGCCGATATAGAGATCACGTTGGACGGCGCTGAGACGCGAAAGACCGCGGACATCAAATCCGAGGATGGCAAGAAAGAGCGGCACCTGCTCTACTACGACGGCGAGACCGTGTCCGGCAAGGTAGGGGGCTTCTGCTCCGTCGAACACCCATCCGTTGCAACGTTAATCATTCATCTGGTTCACGAAAACCTCAGAGTAGGCCTGAGAACTGTTGACATGTTGTTCGCACGCAATGCGTTCAGTGGGTTGGAAATTACGTGAAGCTTGAACAAGTATATTTGAGCCATTCGGAATCGGCATTAAACTGTAGGTCCCATATATGTGTGATAATCTGGTGCGCAACACAGGTATATAAAAGGGAGAGATTACCACGTTCGAAATCGAACAAGGACTGATACGATGAACAAGTATATTTTGATGATGCGCAGATTATTCGCTTGTAGTCTGATACGCTTGATGAATCGATCGTTAAAATATTTCATGTAGGATTTATTTTATATTTATAAATGATAAAAGAAATTAATTAACTTGACGGCTCAAGTATAAAGTATATAAATTTAAGTAAATAATTAGGCAATATCGAGTAATGTCCAACTATTTGACTTGTCTGTATATTAACAGTGACTTCTTAATTTCCTTTTATATATTGTATTTATACCGTTTTTATTCCTTTTTTGTATATTTGTAGTATTTCACTGAAGAAGGCTCGAAAGTAGTCTGAAACGTATGATTGATGGATTATGGAAGTAGTTTTTTATTGCTTCACGCCTTACATCTGCTCGATATTGCCTAATTATTTAGTTAGATTTATACTATATTTTATAAATGATCTTAATATCTATCGCTAGTCAATTAATCAAAGGTTCATTGGAAATAATGTAATCGACCAAAACTAGGCAAAACATTTTTTGTTTATTTGTTACGACGTTTCAACCATTTATTTTATATGTTAAAGATCCAAACACAATGCTGCTTTACATTTTGTATTTATTTACAGATTAATTCAGAGAAATATAGATAATATATATTTGCCAGCAAAATTTATATATCATATTTTTTAAATTACTATTGTGAATTTTGCATTAATTAATTGTAACACGTTTTGTTACTTTAATATTCTTTTGTTACATATGTTTGCGTTACCGTAACAAATTTCTTACTAAATTAATGTTTGCAGATCAACATCAGTTTACGGAAAGCTGGTAAATTGGAGCATCAGGGTGTTAAAGTAGAGTTTATTGGACAAATCGAGCTATATTATGATAGAGGTAACCACCATGAGTTTACAAGCTTAGTGAAGGAATTGGCGAGGCCAGGCGAGTTAACACACAATACAGTGTACACATTTGAGTTTCCAAATGTGGAAAAACCATTTGAGAGTTATACTGGCTCCAATGTGAGACTAAGATATTTCTTGAAAGTGACAATTGTACGAAGACTTAGTGACATTGTTAAAGAACTTGAATTAGTTGTGCACACTCTTAGTTCCTATCCAGATATGAATAATCCCATTAAGATGGAAGTTGGAATTGAAGACTGTTTGCATATCGAATTTGAATATAATAAAAGCAAGTAAGTCCAATTTTATTAAATATTTTTTTTTACTTATAATGATTTTCTGAATTTGTGGCACTAATTATTCCTCTCTTTTTTCAGGTATCATTTGAAGGATGTAATTGTGGGTAAAATATATTTTCTTTTGGTTAGAATAAAAATAAAACACATGGAGATAGCAATCATCAAACGAGAAACCACAGGTTCTGGTATGTTTTAAATAACATTACGTTTAACTCTATAGAATATAGTGAACGATGTTAACTATAATTTTCTGCAGTTTTTTTAATGCATGTAGAATAATACATGGCAAAATTGGAATGAGAGTTTTGGTTTTACAAGTGTTTTTCTTCACAGTATTCAGGTATACTGAGACAATAATTAGAATATATATTTGCAGGTCCTCATACGTTTACCGAAAATGAAACTATAGCAAAATACGAAATTATGGATGGTGCACCTGTTCGAGGAGAATCTATCCCTATAAGAGTATTCTTGGCTGGATATGATCTAGCGCCTACAATGCGCGATATTAATAAAAAATTTAGCGTTAGATACTATCTGAATTTGGTTCTTATGGACGAAGAAGATCGGCGATATTTCAAGCAGCAAGTGAGTTAATTATATAGTTTCCTTAAGATTTCCTCTTAATTAAATTATATTATATTTTATAATTATAATTATATAATTATATATTTATATTATTTATATATTTATATTTATATTATTATATATTATTTATATTATTTATATATAATTATATATTGTATATTATATTTTAATATATTTAATATATTATATTTTTAATTATAGATTATATTTCATAATTATAATTACATAATTATATTATACATTTATTAAATTATATTATATTTTTTTTTTGACTGTTCAAAAACGATATTATTGCTGTGCATTTTTCTATGTGTCTTTGTTTTATATATTTATAGGAGATTACATTGTGGAGGAAAGGTGAGAAAAGCAGAAAATCACAAACGGCCTCGCCACACATGCCGTCGCATTTAGTATCGGCGGAAACAGGATTCCCGCAAGGTGCTCCTCAGAATGGTCCACCGTCAGTGCCGCCTGGTTCCGATCAACTGCCAACGAGTAACATCACGAACGTAGAGGATACTCCAGCGCCAATCGAAGGCATGACACGAGAGGAAGGTGACGGCGAGGGAGAGAAGGAAGGTGGTCCAGAAAGTGATTGAGCCCTTGCATGTAGTTCTATCCCTGGTGTCAATTACGGCCCAGATTAAATGAGAATGTTAAGTAAGGATAAAATGTGCAGCGCAAAGGGATTAGCTTAAAAAAAATTTCTCCTTTATGCACGTTAGGAGATATGTTTTTATTGAGAAAAACAGCGGGACACATAAAGAACCTGCTAGTAAAGTTGTAAATATTTTGGATACCATAAATATATATATATACATACATATTGTATATATATATATATGTATGTATGTATATGTATGTATATATATATATAATTGAGAGAATGATTTATAATTAGTATATTACTGATCAAAATTATAATATACTGTCGAAAAATTTAAGAAAAATGAAAAAGATTTTGCCATTTTGAAGAGATAAAATAATTCCGAGATTACATATTTAATAAATTGCGTCTTGTGCAAACCACCATGAGCATAATATGAATGAGTATTTCTGAATGGACGGCTTACTAATCAAATATTAAACAACTAACGGTACATTTTGCAAAACATCTGAATGTTACAGTGTTCTAAATGTTTTATACAGACAATTCCGACCCGCCTACTGTATAATTCTGGAAAAATCCGAAGGTTTATGGCAGCGTCATATGTTATGCAAAGAGAGTTTATAAATGCTGAATGGATATAATATACTCACAAGGCTGCCCCATATTAATCCGTTCACCTAGTCTACGAGTAATAAGTAAATAAACGAAAGCATAAGAGAGGAAAATACTACTTATGTATATGATGCACGTTTTTTGAAAATAATTTATATATAAGTACACACACACATGTGACATCTCTCTCGAGCGAGCAAAATCGCACTTATTTTTAGAACGAGTTTATATTTAAAGAAATAAAAAAAAAAGAAAGATGTCGATTGTTGCATGATACAGCCATAGATTTCTCTTTTGGGTTTAGTAAAACTGTAGGAATCATTTCGTAAGATAGACTTTTATATGCAAAAGAGTGTGCATTTTGCGTAACATGTTAATCTTCCAAATAGACAAATTATAATATCTGCTCAAATCGATATGCCTTTCTGAACACGGGAATGGACTATGATAGATTAAATAATGGGGTAGCCACCTCATGTATTTATAAATATATATACATAATATACATACATATTGTGCAGTATCATGTGTGTGTGCGCGCGCGCGCGTGTGTATGTGTATATATGTATATACACATGTGTATATATATACACATATATTCGACTTCTCATTCTAGCAATAATGACTGATTGGATTGACATGTTACCTCACAAAAATACAAAAATAAAAATTACACGATAATTTTTTTTTAATTGATTGAATATCTTTTAAGAAAATCAATTTTAAATATTTAGAATAATGAATATTTTTATTATACTCTATGAAATTATTTTTTGTGTAAACAGTACAAAACACCAATCAAAGAAATATTCTACATTATCTTAGTTTTTTTTTATGAAATTATTTTGCTGATTATATTATTGATTTAGTCGATATTCTATATGTATATATATATATATAAACACATACACATATTTAAATATTGTAATATCACATTAACAGTCATGAATAGATATATTTCCACCGTTACAGTGAAATACTATAATGATGAAATTAATGCTTCTACAGAGAAAAACTTATCGTTTTGTACTGTTCTATATCATGGGAATTTAATTGTAAAAAAAGAACTTTACCAAGGGACATACATAATATTAGATTATATATACAGGGTGGCCCCGAACGTTCCAGCCAGACTTTGAGATCTTATAGGAAATTTAATTCTGAACAAAAAAATTTCCTATAAACATGGGTCGAAAAATGCTTCCTTAAGAAGTTATCACTCGAAAACTTCGGATGAAGAAAGAGCAAAAGATGAAAAGAAAATGAAATAAAAAGAAAATGAAACTAAATAAATTTCTTGAAAAAAACGATAAAAATAAAAAATAAAAATCTTTTTCTTTTATGAAAATAAAATATTTTTTTTTTTAACTAATATTTTAGTAATAGCACGTAATAGTAGAAAATGAATAAAGACGTTTTTCAAGAAATTTATTTAGTTTCATTTTCTTTTTATTTCATTTTTTTTCACCTTTTGCTCTTCCTTCATCAGAGGTTGTTAACTGAATAAATATCTTAAGGAAGCATTTTTCAACCTATGTTTATAGGAAATTTTTTCTTCAGAATTAAATTTCCTATAAGATCTCAAAGTCTGGCTGGAACGTTCGGGGCCACCCTGTATATATATATATATACATATATATATATTTACATGTAACTAATTGAAATTTTGTTTTGTGTAAGTTGAAACTTCACGTAATTCATACCTTTGTTATTTATGAACTGTAAAGAATGAGATCGTAAGAAAGATAGAGAAGTGAAAAAAAGAAACAGGAACGATGTACTATGTAAGTAAAAGGAGGAAAAATCTATTTGTGAATTATTTGACATGTCAAATATTGTATGTGCATGTATATACATGTGTGTGTATGTGTATATATATATATATATATATATATATATATATTTACATACATAGATATATACATCATGTACGGTATTAAACTAGTTGTATATTTTAATGTCCATATGAATATATATTATATATTGTATACAATGCATATGTGCATACACATGTATATTGGAAACTATAGCTAATTGATTTATATATGTATATATATATACTCAATCCAGTCTTCATAATCCTGCTCAGTTTTACATAACTTTTTAATGTATTAGAATTAGGGAGTATCATTTACTAGCGAATGAAATTACACATAAATTTTATAAAATCGTGTATATCTGTATTGAAATGGTTGCTGATACTTTTGCGACTTTTCATTTTTATCGAGTTGTTTTAAAGTGTAACGTGCAATGCGCTTACGCTCGATAGTAAAAAAAAAAGAAATGTAGAGGTTCATATAAAAAAAAAAATAAAGAAAAATCTGTTGATCGATTTTTCTTTAACGAGAATGTAAATCGTCAATTATGTTGCAGTTTAATAAAATTATATAACGATGTAACGTGTGTCAAATAATCGGCATCAAAATTTCGTAGTGAGTTATCATTAGTATATTTTTTTTTCATATAAAATTCTTCAATAATAACTTTGTATAAAAAAACGATGATATGTATATAAATTTAAAAATTAAAATTTCATGACGTGCGTTGATTCGTCATAGATTTGTATAGCCTGAAAAATTCTTAGCCAATCGAATCATCGTACGACACATGCGATATTAGCCTTAATCTCTCGCCAACAGAGTTCTATCTATAATTTGTTACTTCGAAGGTTAATATTTTTTAAACACTGGATGTATCAAAAAATTAGAAATTATGTCGAGGAAGAAGCACAATATATCATATATTAAGCCGAACGAGCCAAAATTTCTGCGAGAGTTGAAAGAGCAAATCGGATATAAAGAAGGCCCCACTGTCGACACAAAAGTAAGATATTTCTTAGTTATTTGGATTGGACACGGATTTTTAACAGTACGCAATTTTGTTTATAACCTTTGTATTTGATATTGAACAAAATTTTTTATGTATTTATCAAAAATGATAATATTATTTAATAATAATATTATTTTTGCTTAAAATATATTTATAAAATTTATAAAATTAATTTAAAATTAATTATTATTTATAAAATTAATTAATAATATTTATTAAATATTTATAAAATTAATTATTATTTATAAAATTAATAATATTTATAAAATTTATTAAAAATATATTTATGATTAAATTATAAAATATTACGAAATATATTTATGATTAAATTATAAAATATTACAAAATATATTTATGATTAAATTATATATAGAGAGAAATATTACCAGAAGTCTCTGATGATGAGAGAGAAGAGTTAACTGATGAGAAACCTGTTGTTGTTGTATTAAATTCTGGTGATTTAACAGCAGAAGAAGCAGATGCTTTCAAAAAACAAAAAGAGAAAGGTATAAGTTGTTTTAAATTAGTTTGAGAAATAGCTAATGGTATTATATAATAAAGTACTGTTAATCATGTAAATTATTTTTAGTAACAATATTCAACTTAACATATATAAATTATAAATTAATAATAATTTGCAGAAGAAAGTGGTGCTCCAGCTGATCTATCTAAGAAGATTATATTTCGCAAGACTAAAATAGAGTCGGACAAATCTGAGACAACTGCCACAGATAAACCTATGAGAAAGAAAGCAAAAAGAGACAAGCAAAAGATTGTCTTATCCTTTGATGCTAATGACGATGATGACGATGATGTTGGATAACATTAAATATGAATTCTCTTACTCTTAAATGTTTTATATGTAAGTAAATTTTATTGTAAATATATAATAGTCATTAATATGTATTATAAATCAAAGTTACATGTGAGAAATCATAAGAAAATCGATTATTTTTTATTTGTGAGAGAATGAGTGAATAAATGATTTATTGTTATATGTTTGAGACATAACTTTTCTTGAAATTTACAAAAGATTATGTACAAAGATAGCAAATGTGTACTGTCGAAAAAAAAGCAATAAGAACTGTAAGCGAGTTATAGTAGTTTAAAAGCAATAATATGGTACATATTTGTAAACTAAAAAAAATTACACATAAAATAATTAAGAAATCATAAATTGACCATCTAAATATCGACATTGAGAAGAGCCAATGCATCATGTATTTCAATTTTATGTTTATATATTTATATTTATATATTCAAAATATTTATTTATATATAATATACACAAATTGACGATTATATGTTTTGCAAAAATTGAAGATTAAATCTGTCGTTAGAATCGCGAATTGTGGTACACTGTATATAATATTACTCGCAATATACGTAGTGCTGCAAATATAGAAAATAACGATCGATATAAATTGTTGATAAAGAAATGGCACGTTTCTATTTCTCTCGATTAATTTTCGTAACAAAACACGCTTCGATTAAGGATGCTTTGTATGTATAATCCCAGCAAAAAGTAGCTGAAAATATTGACGAATATCCACTTTTGGTGTATTTTGAGTATGAGAAATTGTGTGGAATATTATTATAATTTGATCTTAGCTACAATGCAGAGATGCATTTTTTAATATTTATTACGTTTTTATTGAAATATTCCGAATTTTGTTCAAAATGATTAACTTTTGGCAGAGAATTTCGCCTTGTGACAGATACATGGCTAATTTTATTGAATTATATTTAATATCTTTTTAACTAGTTAGTATTTGTATAATATTATTTGACCAAATATTTCCTCTGTATCTAAACTACACTTTTACAAATTTTAAACAAATTCTGAATATTATTTCCATGTGTTTTTGTCATTTGAATCGACGTGGTTATACGTTTTCCATAAGAGCACATGTTAATTCGGTGCAAATTAAAAACCTTTTATCTTGTGAATGCTTTAGTGAATCGATTTAAAAATTGTACCAAAGATTCTAAACATATGTAAGGACATTCTGTACAATTTTCATGAAATTCTTAATATTTTGAAAATAGATACAAAACATCTTTAAGTTAAAATAACTCATTCGTCATATGTTACTTATTGACAAACTAAAAATGTTAAGTAATTGACACAATACTTCACATTTATTTTTGTATTGTGACTTTAAGTGTAATGTAAAAATAACATACAAATCAATTAAAAATTACATGAAAAAATAATTACAGAAACTCGTAAGAATTGTTGTAGGACATTAGCTTATAATAGTAATTATTTTAACTTAAATTATTTGTAATAGAAACATTTGACTTTAATTCTGATTATTTTATATGTTAAAGTTCAAGATTATATATATTTAAAGATTTACTTTAACTTTTCTTAGAATGTTGAACTAGACATGTGTTTTTGTCATTTGACTCGATGTGATTTTTCATAAGAACACATATTAATTCGGTGCAAATTAAAAACCTTACATCTTGTGAATGCTTTAGTGAATCGATTTAAAAATTATACCGAAGATTCTAAACATATGTAAGGACATTCTGTACAATTTTCATGAAAATCTCAATATTTTGAAAATAGATACAAAACATCCTTAAGTTAAATAAAATAACTCATTCGTCGTATGTTACTTATTGACAAACTAAAAGTGTTAAGTAATTGACACAATACTTCACATTTATTTTTGTTATTGTGACTTTAAGTATAATGTAAAAATAACATACAAATTAATTAAAAATTACATGAAAAAATAGTTACAGAAACGCGTAAGAATTGTCGTAGGACATGAACTTATAATAGTAATTATTTTAACTTAAATTATTTGTAATAGAAACATTTGATTTTTTTATTTAATTTTTTTATTTTATATGTTAAAGTTCAAGATTATTTAAAGATTTACTTCAACTTTTCTTAGAATGTTAAACTAGCCATGTGTTTTTGTCATTTGAATCAACGTGGTTATACGTTTTCCATAGGTACACATGTTAATTCGGTGCAAATTAAAAACCTTATATCTTGTGAACGTTTTAATGAATCGATTTAAAAATTGTACCGAAGATTCTAAACATATGTAACATTCTATACAATTTTCATGAAATTCTCAATATTTTGAAAATAGATACAAAACATCCTTAAGTTAAAATAACTCATTCGTCATATGTTACTTATTGACAAACTAAAAGTGTTAAATAATTGACACAATACTTCACATTTATTTTTGTATTGTGACTTTAAATGTAATGTAAAAATAACATACAAATTAATTAAAAATTACATGAAAAAATAGTTACAGAAACTCGTAAGAATTGTCGTAGGACATAAACTTATAATAGTAATTATTTTAACTTAAATTATTTGTAATAGAAACATTTGATTTTTTTATTTAATTTTTTTATTTTATATGTTAAAGTTCAAGATTATTTAAAGATTTACTTCAACTTTTCTTAGAATGTTAAACTAGCCATGTGTTTTTGTCATTTGAATCAACGTGGTTATACGTTTTCCATAGGTACACATGTTAATTCGGTGCAAATTAAAAACCTTATATCTTGTGAACGTTTTAATGAATCGATTTAAAAATTGTACCGAAGATTCTAAACATATGTAATAACATTCTATACAATTTTCATGAAATTCTCAACATTTTGAAAATAGATACAAAACATCCTTAAGTTAAAATAACTCATTCGTCATATGTTACTTATTGACAAACTAAAAGTGTTAAATAATTGACACAATACTTCACATTTATTTTTGTATTGTGACTTTAAATGTAATGTAAAAATAACATACAAATTAATTAAAAATTGACCACATGAAAAAATAGTTACAGAAACTCGTAAGAATTATTGTAGGACATAAACTTATAATAGTAATTATTTTAACTTAAATTATTTGTAATAGAAATATTTGACTTCAATTCTGATTATTTTGTATGTTAAAGTTCAAGATTATTTGAAGATTTACTTTAACTTTTCTTAGAATGTTAAACTAGACATGTGTTTTTGTCATTTGAATCGACGTGATTATACATTTCCCATAAGAATACATGTTAATTCGATACAAATTAAAATCCTTATAACTTGTGAACGCTTTAGTGAATTGATTTAAAAATTGTACTGAAGATTCTAAACATATGTAAGGACATTCTGTATAATTTTCATTAAATTCTCAATATTTTGAAAATAGGTACAAAACATCCTTATGTTAAAATAACTCATTCATCATATGTTATTTATTGACAAACTAAAAGTGTTAAATAATTGACACAATACTTCACATTTATTTTTGTTATTGTGACTTTAAGTATAATGTAAAAATAACATATAAGTTAATTAAAAATTACATGAAAAAATAGTTACAGAAACTCGTAAGAATTGTTGTAGAACATTAACTTATAATAGTAATTATTTTAACTTTAATTATTTGTAATAGAAACATTTGACTTTAATTATGATTATTTTGTATGTTAAAGTTCAAGATTATTTGAAGATTTACTTTAACTTTTCTTAGAATGTTAAACTAGACATGTGTTTTTGTCATTTGAATCGACGTGGTTATACGTTTCCCATAAGAACATATGTTAATTCGGTGCAAATTAAAATCCTTATAACTTGTGAACGCTTTAGTGAATCGATTTAAAAATTGTACTAAAGATTCTAAACATATATAAGGACATTCTGTACAATTTTCATGAAATTCTCAATATTTTGAAAATAGATATAAAACATCCTTAACATCAACAAAGACGGATGCTCCAACGAATTTAAAATCCAACAATCTTATCCATCTCTATTCCCTCATTTCGATCGCGGATCGCCCTTATTTTTAAGGAAGCATCGCTCTCATTGGACACGCACGTGCGCTCGGTCACGTGACAAGCATGCGATGAGCGCTATTGGCCGCTTCGCCGGCCCTTTAACGCGCGCCACGCGATACGTCATTAAAACGTCGCATCGTATCACGTGACCGGCCATTCGCGCTCCGCCATCTTGGCGCAGTTTCGTCGACGGTGGTAAGAGGAGCGGATCGCTGACGTCCGCGTCGCGTCTGGAGTATAAACACGCGAGTGCAGAAGCGGGTTCACGGGCCCTCGCCACGAATCATCCTCGACCTATCGCGCCCTCGACGACTCTCGGAGCCGCCTGTACCGCCGCGGGTGCTCGCCGGACGACACACGGTCAGTGGGAATTTAAATAAGCGCGGCAACCCGACGCAAGACGATCGTCGTCGTGCAGCGATCGTCCGGCCCGACGTCGTCCAGGGGGGATGACGACGACGCCGGCAGCTGTTGGACGGCCACGACACGTCGTGTCGTGGCTGTCGCGACAAGAAATGGCGGGAGCTCCGACCAGTTGACGCTCGCGTGCGTGACAGGATGACAGTTGCGTGCCTGCGTGTGTGTACATGGGAGCGAGGGAGAGGGAAAAACGCGTGTCTCCGGAGCACGTATGCGATCGCGTATCGAATCGCTTAATCTGTCAGATTTTTTACGTGCCTTTTTCCCCTCTTTTTTTTTTTTTCTTTTTTTTTCCTTTTCTCTCCCAGATTGTCCCGAGCGCGATGCGATCAGGATCGTGTCGCGTTCTCCAGGTGCCCGTGCGCCCCCTCCCCCCTCACGTCTCTTCTAAGCGTGAGATCCGCTTGTGCGGACGAATCGCACGTATGTGTGGCAACCTCCTCTCCTCGATATCTCGATGCAAGGCCGTACTCTGTAAAAGTGAATCAGTGAAAATAAAAGCAATTTAAACAGTAAGATAAGATTTGTAAATTATCTTAATATCGCTAGTCTGTTAATCAAAAGTTCATTGGAAGTAATGTATTCGACTGAAACGAGCCGAAAAATTTTTTTGTTTATTTGTTATCTGTAATAAATAAACGAAAATTTTTTTTGGCTAGTTTTAACTAGCCAAAAAAAGCTTTGGCTAGAAAAAAAAACTAGCTTTGGCTAGAAAATTTTTTGTTTATTTGTTACCTGTAACAAATAAAGAAAAAATTTTTTTCGCTAATTTTGGTCGATTACATTATTTCCAGTAAAATAAGATTTCACTGAGAATCGGTGAGTATTTTACTGATTTTCAGTAAAAACGCTTTTTTTTTTTTTTTTTTTTAACTTTATCTCATTTTATCTCACTGATTATGGTCAGTTAAAATAAAATTCACTATAAAACCAGTAAATTTCACTGTAAAACCAGTAATCAGTTCGTTCGTTTACCACTACGATCGTTATCTCTCTCGTATTTAGTTTTAGTCATAAGAATGAAATAAAATTTGGAAAGAGCGACAGATAAAATTAAAAGTATTACTTGGATTTAATTTCTGATATAATCTCAATAGAGAGGCTACAAATATTAAATCGATATTTATAAGTCGGACAAATAAATGTCTGGTGACTTAATAAAAATTATTCATTCGTTATCTATTTAAAATAACAAGTTCAATATGCATGTAATATAAATAAAATAAAATTTTTAATATAATAAATATTTAGTAAATATAAATAAAATTTTTAATTTTACATGAAATAGATAGAGAGATGAATTATAGTTTAATATTACTGACAATAACGAAAAAAATATTACTGATATTGAGAAATATTACTGATTGAAACAGTCAAAATTATTAACTGATTCTTTCAATAAAATATCACTGATTTACAGTGCTGTACTTATAACTGCTGTAATCAGTGATTATTTACTGTTTTTCAGTGATAATACACTGATTCACTTTTAGAGAGCAACAATGGGTACGTTTGCATCGGTAAACAAGGATCCCAAAATGGAGGCTAGACGGTGAGTTCGAATGATAAACAGTAGCGTCTGCGTCTGGCGTCCGAGTCCCAAATTTCTTCGTTTCGTTAAATTATTTGCTCGAATATTTTTCTTCTTTATTTTACATTACATTATTGCTTGTGACGTGTAAATTTCGTAAAGATAAGAATGATTTCTTACATAACTCTGTGGACCTTGCACATTCCTTATCTGCATTCTTCGGATGATAATTCATCTCGATCAGTCCCTTTAATGTTTACGTCTATAATTGTTTTCACCTTTCTCTTTTACTCTAATGAGAAATTGGGTAAAAGAATTGAAGAATCGCGATACCCCTACAACTTTAGCACTGCAACAAGATATTCTCGCATCGTTTATAATAGAATCAGGACACTGGCCTCGTTATTTACACAAGCTTCTTTTTACGTTAACATCATTAATAGGAACGATCAAGTTTGATAAATTTATTTTAAAAAAAAGTCTGAAATTGATTTTATCAAATAATAATTAGGTTCAATATAAACTGCCTTAATTGAAATTGACAATTGAAAATTTATAATTTATCGTCCGATCATTATAGATTTAAAGGATCCTCATTTTTAAAACGCTTTCTAAGCGCAAATTTTAAATGCTAATTTTAAATGTCAACTTTAAGCGCAAATTTACTCTATGAAAATTGAAGTTTTCTTTCTTCCCAAAATTGATTATTCGCGAGACAATGAACGGTTTACATACTCACGTTTAAGTACTTGTTAATTATAGCTTCTATTTTAGCATATTACATGACATCGAATGTACAATGAATTTATTGATGTTTAATATATTAATTAATTATAATCTTGCTCGAAGCTTTAGCGCGATGATCTCGTTAATTTATCGGCTCTGGATTGTACAGGATTGTATAAGGGAATATTTTTCATTTCAATGTATTTTATTTATTATTATTTATTTTATTATTGAATTAAAAGCTTTCCGCGAAATATCGCTGTAAATTCTAAACTTGTGTTTACCACGGTAAAAGTATAACGGAGAGATTGAATTACGCGTGTTAAACAGATATGGTGAAATCGTGAGAAACGCACGTTGCTGTTTCCAACACGTTTGCTTCCTTCTCCTTTGCTTGCTTCTCGCCTTAAGGGATTAGAAACGCCATAAGTATAATTTTTTTGCTTTTTTTTCCTCCAAAATATCGTTCGATGAAAAGAGGAAAATTAAAACGACCAACTTCGTGCGATAAATTGCAGGAATTATTTTTCACTAACGAAAAAACATTATAATCAAATGTCACAAATGTCGCGATGGTAAAGGAAGGAAACAATTTTTTACGCAAATATAACTATTATAAACGCGAGCGATGAAAGGTCAACTCTAGCAGCTTTAAATAACGGTTTTAATTGACTACGATTAAAATTGTAGGTTTTAATGCAAGAATTAGGTAAGTCAATGAAGATCCACTTCAAATGTAAAATTGTATTTAAAATGAATTTTTTTTTTAGAGAGATCAAAGGATTTATTCTGAAATCATTTTAAATTAAAAAAAAAGCTTTATAATATAATCTTCATTATACATTCTCTTCAAGTGTTTTAAATCGTAATATTTTTTATAAAAGTATAGAAGGTTTAAAAAAATAAACTTTAATATTATGGAATTATCTCATTCTTGCATCGATCCTTTCAATTTTTCTTTTTATGTAGTTATTGACCTAGAAATTCTCTCATGCAACGCAAAAGTTTAAAAGATTTTATTGCCGACCTATACATATGCAGGAAGCATCTTTAATACATTTAGATATTCTTTGCTTGGATTTCGTTCGCAAAGAAATAAAGTCGCTCGATGTAACTCAATGAAAAAGCCACTGACTCGATATATTTTCCCCAGATCCACGTTTCTGAGAGAAATATATCGAGATGCGGGATTGTCTAAATTGTTATTCAAGGATTAGGATATTGCGCAGGGAGATGTATTTGGTCGGTAGCGATTTCTGAGAGCATTCTGCCGACATTCTTACGACAAGAAAAAAAAGAGCTATTTAGCATACGAGGATTCGTTTTTACTTAACGGCTTTATTATTACTTTTATTATACGGCATTGATTTTGCGTGTAAACTTGGCAACGCTGTATGTACCGTCGACGCACTGTAACGATTTCAACAGTTAAAAGCGTCATGCAGAGAAGATGAGAACCCCGAAATTGATTTCAAACGAGTGTTCGCCCTCACATTTATATGCACACAAATACACCTCGCGTTTGCCGCAATCGTCCAACTCTGGAGGAAACGTGGGACACCGCCACGAGATGTTCCACAAAAAAAGAGCATACGCTCGTTCTCTCGGATATAGAACTTCAAGTATTACAAAAATTAATATCCGGTTATATTTTTAATTAATTAATTAATTGCTTTATCCTCCTATAACTGGAGAACTCTTGTGGTAAAAACCAGTCTGTTTTTCAGTCAACGATGAGAATCGAGAACATTTAAGGATTGAAAAATGTTTAGAGTATCGCACGTTTCCTTTTGCGACACAATGACATTGTTTAACAATTAATCACTTCCCCGTTGGATGCGTAAACAACGACATTAAGATATCAAATTTTATTTTTTTGTTTTGTTTTAATGTCATAAAAGTGAAATATAATATTATATCCCCATTTATTGTATATTTTCTTCTGAAGGATAATAAGGATATCTTTTTTCTGAAGGATAATATTCTCAGAGAAGTGATTAATACGCAAATCGCGCAAACGGAATATCATATAATTTTTTCTATAATATCCAATCATTCTCTCTCTCTCTCTCTCTCTCTCTCTCTCTCTCTCTCTCTCTCTCTCTCTCTCTCTCTCTCTCTCTCTCTCTCTCTTTCCCCCCTCTCTCTCCCCCCTCTCTCTCTCTCAAAAGTACCTTCTCATCTCCTCTCCTGATTTCTTATTAAAAAAAAAGGAAAAATTGTAAGACCTAATTTCATCCATTCGCACAAGATACACAGAGAAAAATGTATACTTTATTCAAGTAAATATTATTTATTTCAAGTAATCGTAAGTTTGTATATCCGCAAATATATCATAAGTTTACTACAAGCATTAAATTTAATTGAATATATTCTGAATTTTAGCAAGTGCAGTATTTTAATCAAGAATATTAAAAAATAAAAATTTAGTTTGCTTATTACAAGAGTTAACGTAAAGTAAGTTTGATTTTTCTTTGATACAACTTTACAATATTCTTGAAGAGAAAATAAATTCTTAATAAAGGTATAAGAGACTCGAAATATAAAATTAACAAATTAGTTTCGATAGCAATACGAGTCGAGCGTCGAGTGTCGATGACACATTTATTTATTTATTATACAAAATTATTTTATAAAAATTATTTTATAAAAATTATTTTATAAAAAATTTATTATATAAAAGGCATGAAGTAAAAATAAAAATAAATATAAGAAGAAGGAAGCGCCTTTGCTATTGAAACTAATTTGTTAAATAAATTCTTCATTCGAGTAAATGATAATTTTCTAACCCTTTTTATGAGTATATTTGAAGCTTATTCTCAAGAATATATTCTTTGCTGAAGGAAACTATTGCTTAAAAAAAAAAAAAATAAACTGAGCAATCTTTTCTTGGCAGTAGAATGATAATTCTTGTCCCAATCACGCGTTCGATATAAAGGATACACCCTGTATATCGCTTTCGCATCTGACGCGCGATTGGTCGATTTTTCCATGCATCTTACGCGGATATGCAGGTTCGTTTGTGGACGGGCCTTTACCCCGAGCTACGATCCTGGGACGCATAACTTTTTCACGCTTCCCGTCCCGTCGCGCCTGCCCTCTAGTGTGCCAATCGTTAGCGATGAATGTGTTCGCTCTATTTACAGGTTTTGTGAATATAAATCGCGTAATCGTGCTCCCCCGCGACTTGTGAACGAACGAGTAACATCGGAATAGTGCTCGATTTGACTACTGCCGCGCGCAGCGAACGGCCCGAACGTCATCATCACCGTCGTCGCCGCCGACGAGGAGGATCGCGGATGATGCACGCGATCATGTCGCGCCGTCCAACGTTCGCGTAGGCAACCCCGTTGTCGCCGTGGTCTTCTTCCTCCTCATCTTACTCTTCATTTCTAGGTGAGTATGCATCGACCGGAGATGCTCTCTCTCTCTCTCGACAGAGTCGTCTGCTTGAAGTTAAACGAACGATCAGTCGAGTCTCGAGAGAGAGAGAGAGAAAGAGAGAAAGAGATAGATAGAGGGAGCGAGAGAGAACGTTAATTGTATCTCGAAAGGGGCAAAAGTCCTAGAAATTAACCTCAATCTCTCGGAAGAGGCGATCAGCAGTAGCTGCCCAGACAGCACAAAAGGGCCAAAAGATGTCTAAAGGATTTAAGACGTCTTTAAGTCGTCTTTTAGATGTCTTTTGGACATGTGTGCTGTCTGAGTTGCACTTTTCGCGTCTTGAGACTGAATGAACGATGCATGTTTGGGGATCAGTGGGAAGAAGCCTGGGGAGATGTGTAGAGGAGTCGAGAATGGACTCGATGATGATGATGATGATGATAATGATGCTGATGATTCCCCTCGCTACGTGTGACCGCGACCTAAGTCGCGTTGTCGTGAACGAGCTATTACATTCTAGCGTGCGCGTCTCTCTCTTCCTCTCTCTCTCTCTCTCTCTCTCTCTCTCTCTCTCTCTCTCTCTCTCTCTCTCTCTCCTTCCCCTTCCCCTTCCCCTCTCTGTCTGTCCCCCGCGCTCCTGCGCGTCGTCGCGTCCAGCAGTACATCTTTCGCGCGAGAGAGCGCATCTTCCTGACGAGATCCTCCGCGACGGATCCCTCGATTTCGCGCGCGCGCGCGCGAGACAGTCAGAGAACGCCCCCTTACGAGGGTGAAGCGCGCACGGGTCTCGTCCTCGGGACGGCGCCAGGACGAGGGTCCTTCGCCTTCGACGCGGTAAACACCTCCCATATACTCGGGACACCCAGGACAGAATCCTCTCGCCACTCGCGAGAGAGGCTGGAGGGAGAGAGGGGGAAAAGTGTAGAAGGAGTGCAGAAGAGCGCGCGCCAAGACGCGGCGACGGTGCACCTCGCTTGGAGCTCGGGAGGGGACGATTGTATCTCGGTGCGGGATGTATCAGGTTAGTGATACCGTGCGCCTCGGTTGGGGAAAGACAATAATGCCTCGAGGGAGGGATAGATAGATCTTTCCTCCTCGCGAGCGGGCCGGCGAGGACCGAGCTGTCAAACGCTCGCGTTCGGGTCACCCGTCCCGGAGAGAGGTCGTCGTTAACCTCCAGTGTTCTAGGTGGACGCGACGTCTCCGGGATCGGCTGAGATCCTCGCCGACCTCTTCTCTCCCTCTTTCTCTCCTCCCCTCGTCCCCAGACGACCGGCCCTCCTCGCTCCCATCCCCCCCTCGCTTTTTTCCCCCGATCGACGCCGGGGTACGTCGCGAAAGGACTCGTGAACGTCACGCTGTGGACGACGACGTACCCGCGGGCGATATCCTGTCCGTATACACCTAGTCACCCCGAGAACCCTCTCGTGGATCCAGGACACAGATACGGTGTGTATCGGGTGACTCGTGATTGACAGATCGTTCTATCATCGTCAGCAGCGTGTTAGACGCCTTGTTAGAAGCCTAGTGCGCGCGCGCGCGCCGACTGCGTACGATATACATGTACACCCCGCGAGGTCTCTCGAGTGTAGGAGGTTGAGAGAGAAGAGCGAGAGAGAAAGAGAGAGAGAGAGAGATATGAAGGATAGAGACTGGCTGACGGAATGACTGACTAGCACTAGTACTTGCGTACGCAGGTGACTGACTGGGAGACGACGCTAGAGAGCCAGGACTCTGGGATACCCACCCGTTGGTTTGCGCGTCCGTCCGTCCGTTCGTCGATCCGTCCGTCTGTCCGTCCGTTCGTCAGTCTGTCCGTTCGTCCGTCCGTCCGTCCGTCCATCCATCCATCCATTCGTCCGTCCGTCCGTCCGTCCGTCCCTCCGTCCGTCCGTACATCCGTTTGCTCGTCAGTTTGTTCGCGCGTGCAGCACGACGGACTCGTTGGCGACGAGAGACGAATTAAAGAGTAACGCTAGAGACAGAAGACGGGTCCTGGGGACCTGGAGCCTCGGACGACGCCATCATCATCGTCGCCCTTGCTCTAGAAGACTCTCTCTCTCTCTTTCTCTATCTATCTATCTCTCTCCTCCCTCCCTCTTCCAGCTCGGCTGGTCGGAAGTTTGTTGGTTATGGGAGCGAGAGCGGAATTCGCTGCGCCATTTTGAAAAATTCGGCCCCGCTAAAAATCCCCCCCCCCGCCCTGACTTCCCCTCACCCCCGCGCGCCTATCAACCTACCTGGCTGGCTGCCTCGAGGAGGTGGAGAGCTCCTCGCGTCCTTCTCGCCGGATTGTCATCAGCGAGTGATATCGTTTCGTTGTTTAGATCGACTGCGAGGCGGACCGCGGTGGACTCATGGAAGGCACGTTGGAGGAGCCTGGTATCAAGGACTCGTCTCGGAACGGTAGTCCCGACAGGCACCTGAAAGGTGAGCATGATGACTGGTTGGGACGTGATATCGACGAGCACCCTCGAGTCTTCCAAAGAAGCCTCCGGACTTGTAGAGCTTTCCCTCGTTCAGAGGAATTCTCCATGTGACTTCTGTGAGAAATGGGGACCTAGTTGTTTGACACACTTTTGTACATTTTCATGATCCGCTGACTGGTAATTGTGGGTAACTTTTTCTCGTTACCTTGTGACCTGAAGACTCGCGTCAGAGTGACGTGGGAAAGTTGCGGGGTCTCGTTGCGTAATTGTGTGATTTTTTCTAACTGCGATAAAGGTAGCAGTTTTGGAATTGTATAGTTCTTCGATTGTAAGATACTGATTTTCTTGAATTGCAACTTTAATATGACACGTATTTGTTGTTACTGTGCTGAAATGGAGATTATTTATCTATTGATGAATGATTATGTATTAAATGTTTCATGATTATTTGCAGATATGATTATTCCAAATGGTGTCAACGGGAACTATAGCGTTGACAATGAAGAATACATGGACATCAGTGACAACATGGGCAAGAATATATTGAAGGAATTTGTCACCGAAGATGAAGAAGGTGATGAAGAGGAAGGGGATGATGAAGAGGACGGAGATGAGGATGATGATGATGATGATGATGACGAGGATGAGAGAGAAATCGAGGGTCAAGAAAGAAAAAATGAAGATAGTGAGCAAAATGAAGCAGTAGGTAATTATGATAAAGAGGGTGATGCATTTGACTCGAAAAATGACTTTAAAGTATCCAAATTGTCCGATGGTGTGAGTGAGACGAACAATTCTAGTGAAGTGTCTAAAACTGAATCAGAGTGCAAAAACACATCTTGTGAAGCTATGGAGGTAGACGAACAGAGTAATAACTCCGATGTTGAGTGTCTCGATGAAAGCATTACAGAAATACAATTGGATAATGACGATGTGTTCATTTCGAAAAAGATTGTCGACAAGCAAGACAATGATATGTCGTCAAACTGTAGCTGTGACAGTAGTGAACTCGCTGACAGCAGCATGGAGAAGACGGATGTCAAGCTCTGCGAGGAGAATGGAAGCTATGACAGTCCAGATATCGAGGAGATAACAGATAACGCGAAGAATAATGGTCATAATGCGGATCCGCGTGCTCTGAAGGATCCCACGAAGCAGAGAAAACCGCGAAAACAAATAGATCTTAGTAGTATTACGCCGAGAAGAAGTTCGCGCAATATTAAACGAACAAGTTACATAGAAAAGGAGATAGAGGAGGAAGTGGATGACGATGGATCTGATATAGAAGAGATTAAACCGGAGGATCCATTAGCTGGTATCGATAGTAAAGACAAGGAGAATTCGAAATTGAAGTCGCCAGTGAAGAACAGTAGTAAAACCACCATCGTCGTTAATGATACTAAACGCCTGGTGGAGATTGCCGCTGGTAGCAAATCCATCAAAGGTGGCAAAAAGGAACCTACATTAGTCATAATAGATACAAATTCGATTCTTTCAGGCCGCGGTGGGGTCCCCGTGAGCAACAGCAAGCCTCATCATTCTATCTCCAATTCTAGCTCATTTTCAGTTGTCCCAGTAGGAGGCATGACAACGCAGACAATGTATCCCAATATGAGGACGACCATTACGCCAGTACCAATGACTTCAAAGACGGCACAGCTGAGTCCAAAAGCCAGTAGTATGACCACGGTTACGCCGACCACAGTACCGCCGATTTTACCGACTCTGACTGATGACATGTTCGTAGTTGAAGCACCATCCTTCATAGTACCTTACGTATACGAGAAACCGCCTCTAAGACCATTAAAGGAATTCGTCACCAAATTGGAGAAAAGCATCGAGGAAAGAGAAAAGGAGGAGAAGTCGAAACGAGTCGTCGATGAGAAGGATAACGAGGAGTATAAGGAAGATTCCTTGGATATTATTAAGAAAATCAATGAAAAGTCTGACGAGAGTGAGAGCGAGGGACGAAGCAAGAGAGACGGAGATGACAGAGGAAGTGACAATTCCATAGACCTGACCGATCATGGATTCAGTAGTATAAGCGACAGGCAGAGCGAACTGAGGCAGGATGACAGAAATAAAGTACCGACGTACTTCGACTTACCATTGGGCAAGTTTTTCATGCAGATCGGGATGAATCTTGTACAGGAGTTTGTGCAAACTGATCTCTTACGGACTCAAAAGCGTAAGCAGGGCAAGGGTAGCACATCGGCCGAGACTCAATTAGCTATAAATTCGCTTATCAAGAATCTAGAGTTTAGTAAAGAGAATAACGAACCATTCCACTTAGAGATGAAGAAATGCGAGTTCTGTAGTTTCAAAACGGAATCGACATTAGTCATGCAGCATCATCTAGAGACCCCGCATATGCGCAACTACGTTTACAAGTGTAACTTCTGTCCGATGGAGGTCCGCAGTCCCCACGATATTCTGTATCACATGGAGGCGGAGCACAATACTCGCGGTAGACTGGAACGCGGCCCGGCTTTCCATCAGTGTCCCAATTGTCCGTTCGAGGACAATCAGAAGGGCAAATTGACACGGCATATTTTGGCCTGTACCAAGAAATTTAGACCGGAAAGAAACTTGGAGCCTGCCGCGGATTGGGAGCCCCCGGCCAAGATACCCAGATTGAATCGTGCGCGACCTGTCGGCCCTACTAATCCAAATGCGCTCGCTGCTATGGCGATGAGCGCTAAGGGTCCGCAACCGTTGCTACCTAAACTATTACCGGCGCCGATCACAGGTCGTGGAAGAGGGCGGCCACCGATGCAACCGAGATATTCCGACCTGAAAACTTTGCGACCAGGTGCTACTACAATGCGGCAAGGTAAATCTTGATAAACACTCGCAATAATACAGAAGAGAATATACAGGGTGTTTCAGATCATCCGTATCACCCATTTAAAAACTAGAGGAGTGATTATTTCAAAAAAGTAAAAACATTTCCTTTATAAATCGAGTGCGCTCTATCGAATGGTGATATTTTCAACTTCTGCTTCCGGCCGGAAATAGGCGATTCAGACGGGAAGTGCATTTTTTTAAACGGAACCCCCCATTTTTCATTGAATATTCTTGTAGCTTACCTCGAGAGCTTTCCAAAACACTATAATAAATTATTTTTCCATGAAGTACTTGTCGAGTTATAAGGCTTGAAATCATTTTTTAATTTTACATAAATCATAAAATATCTTGTAAAAGATTCATTTTTCGATTATCTTACCTTAATACTTTTATGTACAAAATAATGAGAGGAATCAATTGGTGTAAAGAAAACACATAATTGTTTCTAAGAAAAAATATATTATTTGCAATTAACAATTCCATATCTTTTCTTAAAAGCAACTGTATGTTTTCTTTACACCAATTAATTCCTCTCATTATTTTATACATAAAAGTATTGAGGTAAGATAATCGAAAAATAAATATTTTACAAGGCATTTTATGGTCACAAGATATTTTACAAGATATTTTACATAAACCATAAAATATTTTGTAAAATATTCATTTTTCGATTATCTTACTTTAATACTTTTATGTACAAAATAATGAGAGAAATCAATTGGTGTAAAGAAAACACATAATTGTTTCTAAGAAAAAATATGTTATTTGCAATTAACAATTCCATATCTTTTCTTAAAAGCAACTGTATGTTTTCTTTACACCAATTGATCCCTCTCATTATTTTGTACATAAAAGTATTAAGGTAAGATAATCGAAAAATGAATATTTTACTAGATATTTTATGGTTTATGTAAAATTAAGAAATTATTTCAAGCCTCATAACTCGAAAAGTACTTCATGGAAAATAATTTATTATAATGTTTTGGAAAGCTCTCGAGGTAAGCTACAAGAATATTCAATGAAAAATGGGGGGTTCCGTTTAAAAAAATGCACTTCCGGTCTGAATCACAATCATATTTCCGGCCGGAACCAGAAGTTGAAAATATCACCATTCGATAGATCGCACCCGATTTATAAAGAAAATGTTTTTACTTTTTTAAAATAACCACTTCTCTAGTTTTTAAATGGGTGGTATGGGTGGTCTGAAACACCCTTTATATTTTTCAGAGACAACATTTTTACATATTATGTAATGTTGATAAATCGTATTTCAGATAATGTTGCAGGAATGATGTATCGTCCTACATCGTCCGGTTTATTGGTACCCACGTCATACCAGTTTGGTAGTAATCAAATATTCCAGGTAAAAACAGCAGCATTTATTTTTCACAGATGTATATTTTTTGCTACGCATATACGCAAACACTAACAATTAAATTTAGCGAATTAAATTGTGAAAAGTAAAACTTGATCGCCAAAATTCAAGCGGCCTAAAAGTTATAAACTCGTTCTTCAAAGGATATCAAAGAGAGAATATGTTGCAATAAATGAGTTAAACGAGTTTTTAATTTAAAATATTATTCATGTTGCAAACATGGCCGCATATATTTATCGTTGTTATAAGAAAACTTTGCACACACAACAAACAATTGGATATATAATTTCTTATAGGCTGCCATATTTTTTTTTAATATGAGATATTTTTAAATATCATATTTTTTTATCAAATATCATATTTTTAATATGATTGAAAGGGTGATGAGAATCGATGACAAGTGTCATGCCCTTTCTTAATTTTAAATTCGAATAATATAAGTTTGAGAACGCCACATTTTATACATTATACAAGTTTCAAGTATTTTTCTCATATTAAATTATACGTATATCTGTACATTACAAGACTATGCTGTAATACTATCTGTTGAATTGTTTAGGTATAAGAGCGTATCTTATATTACAAATTGATATTTTACATAACAATTTCCAACAAAGGCAGAATAGCATAAACTATATAAAAGTTGATTGAAATTTATGAATAAATGTTAAACTATATTTATGAATACCATACAAATTGGAATCAGAACAAGGGTGGACAAGCTTTCAATTATAACTCGCCAAATTTTCTTGTGCTTGATATAAACATTAATTTTATGAGCTAAATTTTTTAGTAAAAAAAAATATTTTTAATTATTTTAATTTAGAAAGAATTATTTTTTATTTAGTATATATACCAAATATTTGCAAGAAAACTCCTACGTTAATTCTTGATTAAAAATTACAATGAGAATAATTAAATCCTAGTAATATGTCTATTACACTTAAGTAATTTATTAACGAGTAGTAGACGTAGTAGTAGAAATATAATAATTTTTGTATAAATTTTGTACGCTTTTCCGATTTTTTAATGTGAAAACGTGTATACAGGGTGTCCAATTTTAATGTCCTATCCCAAATAACTTTCTTATTTTTAATTTTAGAAAAAGATGTTTCAGACAAAAGTTGTATGGTTTCAAGGGGGACATAAGGTGGTGTCATTAGTTTGACCTTGAAGAGTTACATGAAGGTTATTTTGAATTTCTTAAATGGAACACCCTATATATTTTTGCATATTCTTGTAGTTTATCTCGAGAGAGAAAACATACAGTTGTTTTTAAGAAAAAATATATAATTTGCAATTAACAATTCCATATTTTTTCTTCGAAACAACTATGTTTTTTTTTTACACCAATTGATTTCTCTCATTATTTTGTACATAAAAGTATTAAGGTAAGATAATGAATATTTTACAAGAAATGAATATTTTACAAGATATTTTATAGTTTATGTAAAATTAAGAAATGATTTCAAGCCTCATAACTCGAAAAGTACTTGATGAAAAAATGTTTATTTATAGTGTTTTGGAAAGCTCTCGAGATAAGCTACAAGAATATGCAAAAATATATAGGGTATTCCGTTTAAGGAATTCAAAATGACCTTCACGTAACCTTCATGTGACTCTTCAAGATCAAACTAATGACACCACCTTATGTCCCCCTTGAAACCATACAACTTTTGTCTGAAACATCTTTTTCTAAAATTAAAAATTCCAAAATTTCTAAAATTAAAGAAAGTTGTTTGGGATGGGACATTAAAATGGGACACCCTATATACATTGAAATTGTCACACTTTAAATACACTCGAGGCTCCAAGAACTAGTAAAAAAGATATATGGGTGGTGGTAGGTGGTGGGTGGTTCTGGGACTGTCATGTCGGCTGTCTCGGGGGTGAGTAGCAGTAGCGGCGGCAGTTCCGGTCAACCCACACCAATTGCACTTGTACCCAACGTTATCGACTCTCTGTCTAGGTTGTCCTCATCACAGGTAAATAAATATTGGAAAGTAACCGGGGAGAAAGTATATAACTGATTTCGTGATATATGTGAGATCGCATGTGTTTTGCAGAGGTGCAAAAAAAGGCTTTTTAATATTGTTTAATTTGTCTCTGATCATAATCAAAAGAATTTGCAGTAGAAAGACTCTTAGAAGATTTAACACTTAATGTACAACCAACATACTTCCTCATATATTTATACTTATGGATCAATTATGTATATCTTTATAATATTAATGGTATATACAGGGTGTCCCATTTTAATGTTCCACCCCCCAAATAATTTTCTTATTTTTAATTTTAGAAGAAGATGTTTTAGACAAAAGTTGTATGGTTTCAAGGGGGACATAAGGTGGTGTCATTAGTTTGACCTTGAAGAGTCACATGACGGTTACGTGAAAGTCATTTTGAATTTCTTAAATGGAACACCCCATATATTTTTGCATATTCTTGTAGCTTACCTCGAGAGCTTTTCAAAACACTATAATAAAGTATTTCTTCATTGAGTACTTTCCGAGTTATGAGACTTGAAATCATTTCTTAATTTTACATAAACCATAAAATATTTTGTAAAATATTCATTTTTCGATTATCTTATCTTAATACTTTTATGTACAAAATAATGAGAGGAATCAATTGGTATAAAGAAAACACATAGTTGTTTCGAAGAAAAAATATGTAATATACAATTAACAATTCCATATTTTTTCTTATAAACAACTGTATGTTTTCATTACCAATTGATTCCTCTCATTATTTTGTACATAAAAGTATTAAGGTAAGATAATCGAAAAATGAATATTTTACAAGATATTTTATGATTAAAATTAAGAAATGATTTCAAGCCTCATAACTCGAAAAGTACTTTATGGAAAAATAATTTATTATAGCGTTTTGTAAAACTATCGAGATATAAGCTACAAGACATGCAAAAATATATAGGGTGTTCCATTTAAGAAATTCAAAATGACCTTCACGTAACCTTCATGTGACTCTTCAAGATCAAACTAATGGCATCTTATGTCCCCCTAGAAACCATACAACTTTTGTCTGAAATATCTTTTTCTAAAATTAAAAATAAGAAAGTTATTTGGGGTGGGACATTAAAATGGGACACCCTGTATAGTATTAAAACAATATACGTCTACACATCTCAATATTTTTCACCCTTTGGTTCGTGTGGACATAATAGTACATGATTATACTAATATATGAATATTATTTTGCCAACAAATAGATATTAATAGATATTTATCTTAATATTTGGAAAGTAATAAATTGCTACATAGTCATTAGAAAAAAATCAATAATATTGAGAATGGATTATTTTGATATATTTAAAAGTAATAAAAATAAAAATAATTATTAGGCTTTTCGAAAAAGATAAAATTATAATTTTTAGTTACAAAATGTGATGAAAGAATACACACACGCATACACATACACATTATGTAAACATAGAGCAATCTAAGAAATGTATTACTTTGAGTTGTAAGATTTTTCAGGTGGATATTACTAATGAAAGATATTTGTCAGTATATGATTTGTAAAAGTAACATTATATATTGGCGAATTTTTGGATTCTAAATAACAGAAACATTTTATATTTTTCAGAACACAACATCCAGTCCGAAAAATCCCACAGCGAAGCTATTGAGTCAACCGAGTATATCTATTACTCCATTACCACGTACAACATCTCAAACCTCCATTCCAGGAACAGGAACTTCTTCAAAGTCTGGAGGAAAAAATACATTTGTTATATGTGAAATTTGTGATGGATATATTAAGGTAAATAATATACAATAAATCTGCACTATTTTTTCAATCAAAGCTACATTCAGAAATTGCATACATTTTTAAGAAAGAAATAAAAATTCCATCAAAATTCTCTTTTATATTTATGGTGGAATTTACTTAATTTATACAAATTGAGTTTATATTTCAAGTTTATGGTAATGATATAAAAAATACCTTTCTGATTATATGCATATCATATTACACATTGTATCAAAAAATTATGTATAATAAGATTAATTATTAATAGCAGATGTTATAATTATCATGTATACGCTATGCGTATAATGCAATAGCACATCAATCTTTTCAAAAAGTACTGCACATTAAATTTTATCATATTTATTTTAGGATCTAGAACAATTACGAAATCATATGCAATGGATCCATAAAGTGAAAATACATCCAAAGATGATTTATAATAGACCTCCATTAAACTGCCAGAAATGCCAATTCCGATTTTTCACAGATCAGGTAAAATTTTTATTAGTAATTATCAAATATGAAAAATTTTTTTTAATTAATTTTATATTTAAAATATAGAAAGTCTCTTTTGTATGCGTAGAAGAATATAAATTGATATTTTTACAAAATCACATTTTACCTACAATAATAAATAATAATTTTAATAAAAATATATTATATATTTCAATAATAAAATAATTTTTATAAAATATAAATTTTAAATGAAATTTGAATTTTTGCGTTGTCGTTTCTAATAAATGTATTCACGACGTTTAATAATTGCGTGATAATTAAATTTGTATGCGTAGAAGAATATAAATTGATATTTTCACAAAAATCACATTTTACCTACAATAATAAATAATAATTTTAATAAAAATATATTATATATTTCAATAAAAAAATAATTTTTATAAAATATAAATTTTAAATGAAATTTGAATTTTTGCGTTGCCGTTTCTAACAAATGTATTCACGACGTTTAATAATTGCGTGATAATTAAATTTGTATGCGTAGAAGAATATAAATTGATATTTTCACAATCACATTTTGCCTACAATAATAAATAATAATTTTAATAAAAATATATTATATATTTCAATAATAAAATAATTTTTATAAAATATAAATTTTAAATGAAATTTGAATTTTCGCGTTGCCGTTTCTAACAAATGTATTCACGATGTTTAATAATTGCGTGATAATTAAATTTGTATGCGTAGAAGAATATAAATTGATATTTTCACAAAATCACATTTTACCTACAATAATAAATAATAATTTTAATAAAAATATATTATATATTTCAATAATAAAATAATTTTTATAAAATATAAAGTTTAAATGAAATTTGAATTTTCGCGTTCCGTTTCTAACAAATATATTCACGATGTTTAATAATTGCGTGATAATTAAATTTGTATGCGTAGAAGAATATAAAATACATAATTGATATTTTCACACAAAAAAAATCACATTTTACCTACAATAATAAATAATAATTTTAATAAAAATATATTATATATTTCAATAATAAAATAATTTTTATAATATATAAATTTTAAATGAAATTTTAATTTTCGCGTTTCTAACAAATGTATTCACGACTTAATAATTGCGTGATAATTGAATTTCTCTTCTCATAGGGTTTGGAGAGACATTTGTTGGGATCTCACGGGCTGGTCACATCCAGCATGCAAGAAGCGGCGAATAAAGGAAAGGATGCGGGTCGTTGTCCGGCTTGTGGCAGGGTAAGTTTCTACATCTTTTTTTTTCAAGTAAGAGTATTTATTTTCGAAAGAAAGAAAATAACAAAGGCACGAGCAACGAAGGAATAATCGAAAGCTATATTGATTTTCCAGGTATATCAATGGAAGTTATTAAATCACGTTGCTCGAGATCACGGGATGACATTGAAGCCGGCACATCTATCGTATAAGTGTACAGTTTGCACTGCCACATTCGGAATGTACAAGCAATTCGAGAACCACGTGTACTCGGCGCACAGCGTCGTGGCGAAGAGAGTGATGGATAAAAAGAATGCGCCCGCATCTCCATCGTCCAGATCGAACGATTCGCTTCTAAAACCATTGAAGATCAACGACGAGATTACGATTATCCCGCAGCCAGCGAAGCCCACAACTAGATCCGGCGCGACTCAAGGCAGAGGAAAATAGCAATGATGAGCTTGAGTGATACTTGTGTCTTGTCCGATCGAATTTCGCATATAACTCTTTGTGGTACTCCATACCGATCACTGGCGAACGCACAGTGATCAACGTGCCGTGTACATGTGTATACTATGCTTAAGATGCGAGTTTTAAAAAAAAGAAAAAAAAACACCTAAAGGGGAAAAAAGGAAAAAAAGAAAAAGAAAACGCGACTCTCACGACGACAGGAATCTAATTGACTGCGTAATAATATTCCATCAATGATTATACCGATATATTTATTTAAGAATTTTTATTGTTGTTATCGGACCTACATAAAATAGACTGTAAAAAAAAAACATTAAAGGGTGGCCTTCAGTCTGACTCCTTGGTTAACTCCTAGAGCTGCATACTCCCGACCTATAAACGCCTATTGTGTAACACGGACTCTCTCGCGCGCGATATACAGAGTGTCTACATTCGAGTGTCCACGTGCGGATTATTCTCTTACATAGCGAATTCTCTATAATGTAAATTCTTTTTCTAAGATAAATATATATTCGAATTTATTCTATTTTGTTATCGATGCTACGACGACTGGCAGGACAATGAAACTGCCCCCATTCTCCGATTTGATAAGAGGACATCATGTTCGCGGAGCGGTCTCCGAATGATATACGATGCGATAAATTGTACTAATTGACCAGAGTGCCCTCGACTGTCACGCGAATCTATAGTACGCAGGTACTAAGGACAAGTGTATACTAGCTAGCATATGATTCTTTAAACCGTATACATACTGTACTCTCATTTCGCTCTCATACGTTTTTTTTTAAATCGACAGTCAGTGAAATTATCGTCATTTGTAACATCTTTATTTATGATATTTCATGAAACTGTGTGTACGAAGTAATTTATGGTATATAACATGTCGAGAAAGAATTCTGTTTTTTTTTTTTTTTAATTGAAACTTGTGTAAATTGTATATCTATATATTATATCATAAGTTTGAATCCTCCCCTTTAGTCACGTATATACTGTAATAAAAAAAAAAACAGAAAATATTCGGTTTTATTTTTGCGCTCTTATAAGAACAAACAAAAATGTACATTTAATATAGAATATAATATAAAGAAATATATCAATAAAATAGGATGGCACACAAATACACACACTCGTGTATACATTTTTTCTGATAAACGATAATACATGAATATAAAAAACGGAACATTGATCCTGTTAAGCACACAACGCGTACATCTACATTTATATATGTATATATATAATATAAAATGTTGGCAAAAAAGACACAAAATATTATATATATAAATATGTAAAATTATAATAGTATAGAGCAATAGTGTAGTGCAAGAAGAGACTATTCATTTCATTTTCTTCTTGTATACACTCCGGAACGATTATAGGATTACATCAATATGTAGATAGTCGTTAAAAAAAATTAACGCGGGTTTAATTTAGCAATTTCAATTTGTCCCGATAATTTTTGTACGTTATTGTAGGATATAATTTTAGAGGGGGAAAAACCGTAATCAATGACAAAAGAAATATAAGATAGTGCGTTTTTTGCACTGTATGGCTGTATTATTTAATTCTGCTACCTTGCCAAACGCTTACGGCAAGTCATGTTGGTAAAAACTAAGAGACACAGACATAATTACAGAAATATATAGTTTATTGTAATAATTTGTACAATATTATATGATTACAAAAATAAAGTGTACCAACATTGAACTAAAATTCGTGCAATATGCGCTACACTGAGAGAATTACTATTAGTCGCTGAAGATCGCAATAAAATTTGTGATCCTAAAGAAAGCACGATCCCATATATCCATTACACTTTTCAAAGCATATTTTGTCCGCCCCATTAGAAAGTATATATATAAAAAAATTATAATTACATAATGCATCTATAATTATAAGTATTTCTAGAAATATATTAATCTCATTTTCTTTTCTTCCCTATTAAGATTATTCAAAATATATGCTATATATAACTCTTGAAAAATATTTTTTAAAGCAAATTAAATGTGCTGAGACATTAGTATTTGCCAAAAAAATTTAGAATTAAAAACATAGTAAAAAAATAAGAAAGAAAATGAGAGTAAATGGAAAAAAAATTACATTATTGAAAAAGACGCCTTGTATATATTGATAGACATTTCATTTATGTAAGAAAATTATAATACAAGCACAGATTTATGAATTATTGTAAAAAATTTATTATATTTTATTGATAGATTACACTTCAGATCTCATTTAATATACAGTGTGTTTCAAAAGTCCTGGACCGGTCGAATATTTCATAAACTATGCACTTTAGAAACAAATGTTTCAGACAAAAGTTGTATGGCTTGAAGGGGGCCATCAGATAGTGGCAATGATTTGACCTTGGAGAATCAAGAAATTAAAGGTGACGTAAAGGTCACCTTCAATTTCTTAAATGGAACCCCCTATTTTTTATTACATATTCGTGTAGCTTATCTCAAGAGCTTTCTAAAACACTATAATAAAGTATTTCTTCATTGAGTATTTTTCGAGTTATGAGGCTTGAAATCATTTCTTAATTTTGCATAAACTATAAAAAATTTAGTAAAATATTCATTTTTCGATTATCTCATCTTAATACTTTTACGTACAAAATAATGAGAGGAATCAATTGGTGTAAAGAAAACACATAGTTGTTTTTAAAAAAAAAATGTAATTGTTAATTGCAAATTATATATTTTTTTCTCACATAAAAGTATTAAGGTAAGATAATCGAAAAATGAATATTTTACAAGATATTTTACGGTTTATGTAAAATTAAAAAATAATTTCAAGCCTCATAATTCGGAAAATACTTAATGAAAACTAACTTAATTATAGTGTTTTGGAAAGCTCTCGACGTGAGCTACCAGAATATTTAATAAAAATAGGGAGTTCCATTTAAGAAATTGACGGTGATCTTCACGTGACTTTCAAATGACTCTCCCATGTCAAATCATTGCCACTATCTGATGGCTCCCTTCAAGCCATACAACTTTTGTCTGAAACATTTCTTTCTAAAGTGCATAGTTTATGAAATATTCGACCGGTCTGAGACCTTTGGAACACTCTGTATGTGTATGTGTATGTATGTATGTATGTATATATATATATATATATATATATATATATATATATATATATATATAACTTTTAATGAATAATTTATATGAGGAGAATATTTTCACGAAATACTTTTTTCTATAATTATTAAAAGTATTTCATCATATATTTAATAATAAACATTTTTTATTGTTGGACATGTCTAGATAATCAAGTGTGATTAATCATACGATTGATAATACTGTCATATTGCCAACAAAATACAATTGTTTACAACATGATAACAATTATCTAGGTATTTCATATAAGAAAGTTATATTTGCTGTAAAAGTTTTTGTTGTTTAAATTTGTGTAGTTTAGAGAAATGATTACACAGTATGTATTTGATTCTGGTAGAATAATATATACATTTTATTATGTAAATGTATCTTTCAATTGATAAACTTAATATTCAAAATGGAAGTCAAAGTAAGATTGATCGAAATTGTTAATACGAATATATCCATCTTCTCCACCTGTAGAATAACTACGACCATTAGGATGAAAAGCAAGGGAATTAATGGGGCCAAAGTGTCCTTTCAAACGTGCAAATTCCTCTTCGAATACTAGATGGAAGAATCGTGAGTCAAATTTGCCTTGTCGCGCGGACGTTGTAGTGACGTCCATAGCGTCTTGACCACCACCAAGAACCACCTGTAGAAAACAATTTTCTTTACATTCCAATATATACGGTGGAAAAAAAAATTGATGTCTTTTTTTTTTATTAAATATAATTCAATATATTTTAATTAATTATTTTAATTAATTAAATATATTTTTATTAAGGTAGGAAATTATTTACTCAGTTAAATCGTAACATTCTTGCTTTATATTTTCTAATTGCAATTGTATTAATATTTCACTCTTTTTTTTCCAGGATTTCAAGATAGCACATAACAGGATGGTAAAATACAAATGTCTTACATGATCAAAAATCGGTGATATTGTAGCAGAATTTACGGGCCTTTCCGTCTTGTATGTCTTCAGTAGCATTAAAGATTCGCTATCAAAAAGTTTTGCTGTATGATCTTTGGATGCGGTTACAAACATGGTCCCATCCTTATTACATTGCATGTCATTTATCTGTGATTTGTGACCTTTGACGCTGGACAACTTTTTCCCTGTCTGTATCACAAACGATATAATTATTCCCATAATATTTATCACTGTAACAATAAAAGGACACTTGCCCTCACGTCCCAAAGTTTAATCTCGCCATCCTCGTGGCCCGTAATAATAGTCTCATCCAAAGCACCCCATAATATAGCAGAAATTCTAGGACCATTGACAGAGATCCTGGAAATTGCATCTTCCTGAGATAATGTAGAATCGACATTTCGCACGTCCATGATAAACATCTCGCACTGATGACCCAAGGCCTTATCAGTGGAGAACACGGCGAGATTTGCTGAATAACTAAAACCACACGCTCTTACAGAACTGTTTGTGCTCAACTGACCTATCTCCTTGCCTAAACAAAATTAGAAAATGCAATTTTGCATTAAATTTTGCACATACAAGCGAAATATATCGTTTGTTTGTATCATATGCAAACCAGTTTGACAGTCCCAGACTCTCAGCGTATTGTCACCACTGCCGGATAAGAGTCGTGTGGTATCCCAGTTGACATCGATACACCATACGGAACCGTTGTGGCCGTTGAAAGTCCCAAGACGCTCTCCGTTCAATGCATACCAAACATTAGGTTGCTTATCTTTACTGGCAGAGAACAGCAGGTCACCTTCTCTATTATATTTTATTTTGGTGGTGGCACGCTCGTGCCCGTGCAACATCAGGGGTTTCTGCAGGAAACAATTCTCTTTACATTCCAATATATAGGGTGGAAAAAAATTGATGTATCTTTTTTTTTTTATTAAATATAATTCAATATATTTTAATTAATTATTTTAATCAATTAAATATATTTTTATTAAATATTTAATGTGCCTTCAACTATTTTAGTCCAATAAAAAATTGATGTATCTATCACAGTGAGGTTATACTGTCACATGTATGTATTTTAGCCTAAATCCAATGCATTTTACTAAAAGATGATGACAGAAATATATTAACGTAAGATCGAAGTAAACTAACCATTTTGTGGCGTTTTAATTTTATTTCAGACACAAAGAAACCCGACAACAATCACTTCTATCACACGAGCAACCATTTACTGAAAAAAAATCGTGATAAAGGCGAGATTACATTTATACGATCAAATTTTCCGATTGGCTGTCGGATAGAGCCAATTACAAGGTGTTTCAGACCACACATATCACCCATTTAAAAACTAGAGAAGTGGTTATTTCTAGTGCGTTCAAAAATATGTTTGGTTGATGTTGCGAAAAAAGATAAAGTTGGCAGTAATGAAAACTCCCATAGTGCGTTCGAAAATATTAATGCGTTCGAAAATATGTTTGGTCGGTGTTGGAAAAAAAGATAAAGTTGGCAGTATTGAAAACTCCCAGTGCTGCGTTTCGTTTCTCCCACTAGGATTAGAGAACCTCTAGGAGAGAGAATGGACAACTGATCATGTGACATGTGATCAAGCTTTTTCATGATTGGCTGGCAGAAAATGTATCAATTTTAGCTATTGCGACGCCAATGCAAAATATCATGACACAAATAGGTTATATTAACTGTGTGTGTGTGTCATCATATTGTGCATTGGCGTCGCAATAGCTAAAATTGATACATTTTCTGCCAGCCAATCATGAAAAAGCTTGATCAGTTATCCATTCTCTCTCCTAGAGGTTCTCTAACTAGGATCATTAGGATTGTATTGGGTCTGTTCGTTTTAGCTGCACTGCTGCACTAGTGCAATTAGTTAGAGTGAAAGAAAGTATATTTGTCTTTTTCTAACTTATTGCACTGGTGCAGCAGTGCAGCTAAAACGAACAGACCCATTGTACCATATATACAATATTAGTGCGTTCGAAAATATGTTTGGTTGGCATTGGGAAAAAAGATAAAGTTGGCAGTGGGTGCTTTCCAGCAAGCAACACAGGCGACACTGTGTCGCTACAGTGTCGATACAAGTGCTTTCCAACTACGACACAAGTCGACACAATCGTACACAGCAAAAATGCTGTGTTCGCCTGTGTCGTCGTTTTGTAGCACCCCAGTGAGTGCCAACATAACATTTCATATTTGGTATCATTAATTTTTTTAAGAATGGTATTGCGTGATAGAAGATAACCAAACTTTTATATTCGCTAAAAAGACGACTTAAAGACATCTAGACGTCTTTAAGACGACATAATGTTGTGTGAGAACGTTCTGAAAATTTAGACCTAGTGACAACTATTAAAAGTGACTGCCCTGCACTCTAGTGGCAAAATAAGAAAGCTAAAAAGCGTTCCAGCTACAAGTCGACACTGTGTAACACTGTGTCACACAGTGTATCACTGTGTTACCATAGCTGGAAAGCACCCAGTATTGAAAACTCCCAGTGCTGCGTTTCGTTTCTCCCACTGGGATCACTAGGATTAAAAAAATTTGCTACTTGAGATATTAAAAGAGGTAAATAAGTAGTTAAATATATTTTATAATAATATGTTTAATAACATCACATATATTATTATACGAATGTGTGTTATATATTAATAATGCTATAATTATAATAAAGTGACATAATTTAGCTAAAATGTGATTTAAATTCAATATTTGTATATCTGGTAACAACATTTTCCAAATAATCTGTTATTTTTGGTATTATTTTCTTTTCACCTCTATTATTATTATCTCTATTTTCGAATAAAATATTTTGTAATTCTTCATTATTATCATCACTATCTGAAGAAGAACTACTCGAAGATTCAAAAATGATGTTTTTGAGTAAAATATATTGTTCCATAATAATAATTAGTGTAATTGCAACACTTTCATATATTGTTGTACACTGAGCGACAACAATTCGTTCCCCGGCCCCTCTCTCGCGGGGCAAGGGGAGCATAGAAGTGACCAATCAGCTGGCAGCGTGACAGTGGCTGATTGGTTAGAGGCTACGCTCCCCTTGCCCCGCGAGAGAGATCACGGAACGAATCGTTGTCGCGGAGTGTACATACATACGGTACAATACAATCCTAATGATCCCAGTGGGAGAAACGAAACGCAACACTGGGAGTTTTCAATACTGCCAACTTTATCTTTTTTCCCAACACTGACCAAACATATTTTCGAACGCACTAATATTTTTGAACGCACTATTCAAAAAAGTAAAAACATTTTCTTTATAAATCGGGTGCGCTTTATCGAATGGTCATATTTTCAACTTCTGGTTCCGGGCGGAAATAGGTGATTCAGACCGGAAGTGCATTTTTTAAATGGAACACCCTATTTTTCATTGCATTGTGACGTCCCGCCATTTTAAAAATTACTAGATTTAGTTATTATTCGCTTACCCATCTTGCTTCTTTAGTATAACCACGAAGTAAGAACGAGTATTCGATTTTATTAATTATAATCCGATTCTATTCATTATTATTATAGATTTTAATTTTAATATATGTCTATATGAATTCTAACATTCAACACTTGCTTACCGTTCCTATTATACACGGTTATTTAACCTGCTAATTAACTATGTACTCCTTAATATATAATAAGGACTTTTTATATATGTTAAATTTAAATTTCAGACCGAAATAGATAATTTAAGTAAATAAGGTATTTCGAAGACATTATTAGATTAATTTTAAATGAATAACTACCAAATTATTTCAACTCTTTGAAATGCTTTATTTAAACTCATTATGAATTTACAACCAGTGTAAATAATTTCCTTTATATGCTGTATTTTAAATTTGATTATTCTATCTAAATTGAGTTATATTTCTAAATCTTTTCTAAAAGATAAGGGAAGTTATACATATATAACGATTCTATAATCTTAATACCGATTGCGTTAAATATTAGTATCGAAATTAAGAGCGCATAACTTTTGCGCGAGGTAATCAAAGAGGAAATCATAAATATGTTAAACATCAATTTTTCGGAGATGTCGACCGATACCTCCGATGAAATTCACGCATTACCCTTTGATCATCGCCGCGCTTCAATGAAAAAGATATCTATGTCTAAACAATTGATAAGAAATTCGGTAGTGCTTCCGAGTACGACGTGGTCCGATGAAGAGATCACCTTACTCGAAAATTCCTTTAGCAAAAGATCATGCAAGGAACAAAGGAATTATTAGTATATAAACCCCGGATTTCGGGTGCGAGAGACAGTAGTAATAATTAGTCAGTAGAGGAGACTTGCTGTCAGTCGCTTTTGTCAAGTGTCGCTATTACTTTTATATCCTAGCTATTAGTAATAATTAAATTAACTTTTGTATCAATTTGCTATTCCACTCGGTAGACTTCGAATAAAAGAACTATAATTGTGCATATCTACCGCGTCCATTTTTTGGAAAGACCCAAATCTCCCGTATACGAAGGCCACTACGACCAACAGAATTTCACCTCGGAGTGGTAAGTACCAAACTCTTTTATATTCCTTATTTTTTTTATTTTCTCGTTTTCAAATTTAATTGTTCGTTCACCTTCCTTGCATCCATTTTACACTTCCTAAAACAAGAAATCAAGAATTAAATAAATAATAGTACTGTCAAGCATTGGCATGCTGCTGATAGTATTCCTTTCCTAATCAGCATAAAGAAAATTTGCAATATCATTTCATTCTGGCAAGCGTCAAGATAATTATTAATTAAAATTATACAGCTCTCATCCGTTAAGCGTCGAGGGTCTCCCTCCTTAGGATCTCTCCTGGCATCCTTTGTCATGCCGGAGTCGTCCGCACTCTCCTATTTTTATTCTAAAAAGGTTCATTACTAAATCTAACCGACCCCAGATTTCCATCGTCTCCGGGCATCCTCTATCATGCCGGAGACATCCAACTTCCCAAACTAATTCATTACCCGGCGCTCTACGGAATATATGTACATATATATATAAATATATATATATATATATATATATATATGAAATTTAGATTATATAATCTATTGTTATCAATTCAAACGTCTTTCCTTACACAGGGATATAGCATCTTCTCGGTGCAGCCCGAAAATCTTCTTGTTCTTTCTCCCTTTTTCCGTCGCATCCGGGCATCCTCTATCATGCCGGATGCATCCTAATTTCCTTACTCTTATGCGACTCCGTCATCCTAACGTTACTCCACCTTAAAAGTCCCGTCGTCTCCGGGCATCCTCTGTCATGCCGGAGACATCCATATCCTTGTAAATTATTGACGTTTTAGTTTAACTAAATAAAAAAAAATATCTTTTTTTTCTTTATTGCACAATTCAATCACTTGAGCTGACGCTAATCAGATAATAACATCAACAAAAGTGAATATCCACTAATTTCCTCAATCAACTTATCTTATCTTAAAGTTTCGCGGCTTCTCCATTTTTTCCATTATCGATAAGTCAGATCCTTGCTCTCGGCATCCCCAAGGTATAGCCGGTGTAAGCAGGTTGCCTTGAAAATAAAGAGAGCGCACTTTACTCTAGAAACGAGGTATCTAGGGGAAAAGTAAGTCACTGAGACGTGACAGCATATTCTTGTAGCTTACCTCGAGAGCTTTCCAAAACACTATAATAAATTATTTTTTCATGAAGTACTTTTCGAGTTATGAGACTTGAAATCATTTCTTAATTTTACATAAATCATAAAATATTTTGTAAAATATTCATTTTTCGATTATCTTACCTTAATACTTTTATGTACAAAATAATGAGAGCAATCAATTGGTGTAAAGAAAACATACAGTTGTTTTTAAAAAAAAGTATGGAACTAATTGTAAATTAATTGTTAATTGTAAATTACATATTTTTTCTTCGAAACAACTATGTGTTTTCTTTACACCAATTGATTCCTCTCATTATTTTATACATAAAAGTATTAAGGTAAAATAATCGAAAAATGAATATTTCACAAGATATTTTATGGTTACAAGATATTTTACAAGATATTTTACATAAACCATCAAATATCTTGTAAAATATTCATTTTTCGATTATCTTACCTTAATACTTTTATGTACAAAATAATGAGAGGAATCAATTGGTGTAAAGAAAACACATAGTATAAAAATATGTAATTTGTAATTAACAATTTCATATCTTTTGTCTTAAAAGCAACTGTATGTTTTCTTTACACCAATTAATCCCTCTCGTTATTTTGTACATAAAAGT